GGGGGGGGGGGGTTGCAATTAAATTTGAAGGAATTTGCTTAATAACTTGGTATCCATTTGGTTGTAAATGTTGCAGCTAAATCATGGTCACTGATGTGAAATAGTCTGGGTTTATCTTGCCTTGTGTGTGCTATATGCAAATCAGTCTTTACGGATTGCAGAGTTAAATTGACAATGTATTATTACATCAGCTCTTGATGTGGTTAAATACATTTAAATTAAGCAAGCTAGGTTAACGGCGGATGTATTATGCAGGCCACATCTGCTGAGGGTAGGACGGCATATCGATCAAAGGGGGTTGTTTCATATACCTTGTGATCAGTGCTTTGGTCCGGGTATTCATTCTGCCATTGTATGCTTTGCCTAGCTGCAGCAAGTTTAGTGCTTCGATACCTTTTCCCCACCCACCCACCCACCCACCCACCCATGTTCATTCTAAAGGATTTTATCCTGTAGTATATGTCATTTTATTTTATATAATTTTTAATCTCACATAAAATAGGATGTATAGACAACTATACATTGTATTTCGTAGGTATGCCTTGGCAGAATTGTCATTGCTATCTCCTTTTGCTGCTAATATTACTGATTGTTGCTCTCATTGTTGCTGCGCAGTTGCTATGGCAATACTTCGTACCATCAAGTCTAGTTGCAGCCTTAAACATGGTTACAATCGCCCAGACCAAATGGAAACCTGATTTTAGTGTTATATATAAAAATACCCCTCTTTACTCGCTGGGGCACCTGTGCCCCGGGCGAGTATAGGTTTCGGCTTCATTTAGTGGATCTCCAATCGTCGTTGATAGCCACAAAATAGAATATTAATGAGCTGCCTAATTTTTCCCCCAATTATCCATAAGAGTCCTGCTAATTTTACCCAAATTATCCATAAATAACCCTGCATTTTGAGGAAAATTCGGGAAAATTGAACAATTTTACAAGGAATTTCGCACGGAAACAACAACCTTCGCAAATCGCAAGTTTTATTATTGTTTATACGTTTGGCTGCGTTGCTTAATATATTTTGAGAAGAAAGCGACACCGTTCGATTCAGTGTAAGAAATTGTACTCACGGATGTCAAATGTATTACTAAACAGCAATATTCTAGCGATTTATGGCCTTTGAAAATCAAGCGAAATTGGTCAAATTGTATGTTGACAAATCGCACGCCGTACGTATTGTTATAAACACATCACTCGCACTACCTTTGTCCCAGCCTAAGCCTAGGCCTTCTAGTCTTTAAATTTATATTTTTTTTAATATTCAGCGCTTTTTCACATGAAAAGGCTTGTGTCCTTCCTCCGCCCCGCCCCCAAATCACCTAGTCCCAGTCTTTTCATATGAAAAAGCGCTGAATATTAAAAAAATATAAATAAAAATAGAAGGCCTAGGTCTAGGCTGCCTTTGTCCTTGTATTTGTAGCCCGCGTGCAGGCCCAAGGGAGCAGGCTCAAGGGAACTTGATAGTGGGCCTGCAAGCAAGGCCCGGTATTTTGTAAAACGCCCCTTTTCATAACACGCCCCATCCGCGCGTCAATTGTCACAAAAGAACCAATGACAACACCCAAATATTAACAAACAAACTCGCATTGAAATGTTGCGGGGTTTTCTCTGCTTATTCAGAACATAAACAATGTCTAAATGGCTGCGTTTTAACTCCAGAAAAGCAAGCAACGCAGTCAGTAATTGCCAAATTTGCAAGTGCTCATTTTCAACTAAAATCGGAACAGGCAAATTAGGACGAATTTCAACAGAAAACCAGTCTCAAACTTCAAATCGTGAGGGAAGTCGTGCGACCACATTAGCATTTATAATGTTGTTTCGCTGTCGCCGTTGGCATTGTTATAAATAAATTGTCTCACTTATCAGATCGTGTGTGCAATTCTTGTTGGCGGCGGAAAGTACGAAATTTATTTCAGTTATTGCATTTGGTAAAGAACTCTACAAAAGAAGAGAGCGTTCAGAGTCCAGATCGTTTCGTTTCAAACGGCAATTTAAATATACCGTCTTCTGTTTCGTTCTCTCAGCGAAGCCTTGTAAATCGCAAAGTGTTTCGAATAGGCTTACAGTCCTTACATGCAACTGCATCTCAACATCAACCAAAAGATTATTTTCTTGAGGAACATATAACGTATCAAGTCTGTTTGAAATTAATGAAACTCAAGTAAAGGTTACTATAGTTTACCCCAGTCGTAATGTTGCTATTCCAACAACTCACGACAAGCAATCCCCATTGGCATAACGGCAAAAACATCTCTTCCTTCTAGTAAACAATAAACAGTCTGTTCTTGTTCCATTTATAATCGAAAAAAGTGATCAATTTTCGAATTTTGAGCTTATCGAGAGCCTTTGTGACGAATCACTGACCTAATTATAGAATCCAGCAGCAAACAGCCAATCAGAATGCCGCGTTCGTGGGCGAACGCGGAAAGTACAAAATACCGGGCCTTGCTTGCAGGCCCACTATCAAGTTCCCTTGAGCCTGCTCCCTTGGGCCTTCACGCGGGCTATTGTATTTGTAATGCCTCATGGCGCAATAACGATAAAAATGTCACCGTTCGATTCAGGGTAAGAAATTGTACTATAAAACAATAGTATCTAGCGATATATGGTCTTTGTCTTTGAAAGACAAGCGAAATTGTATTGTTAACAAATCGCTCATATACGGATGTCAAATGTATTACTAAACAACAGTATTTTAATTAGCGATTTATTGGCTTTGTCTTTGAAAGCCAAGCGAAATTGTATTGTTGATATCATTGGTTTTCTCTTTTTCGGCCGTATACCAGTGGATTCGTCTTACTTCTCTCTTCATTTTGATAGTATTTTGAGCCCAAATATTTTATTTGAACGTTTTAAAGCGCAGTTTAATCCTAACGTACGAACCAACTGACGGCTGACAGTCTTGAAGAATGTAGCGTACTAAATATACAGTAACTTTACTTGTAGGGCCTACCGCATTTTAGTACTGTGTTAAGCCATTTGCGCTCGTATTCGACTTTTCCGCTTAGTAATGTGCGTATTGAGCCCCTCCCAGGGGTTTTAGGGAACATGGGAACATGGGCGTTTATTTTCAAGGAGCAGGGGATATCGTCCAAATATATTCTGGGAACAAGGGAACTCGTTCATAGATTGTTGGGAACAAGGGAGCACCATTTTCCCAATGTCAACGTTGTTTTCGACCTACATAAAATCTAATTACGATTATTCGTGCATATTTTTCGGAGTGCTGTTCCCCCAAAGATCCCCAGCAGTTACTGGAGGACAAGTTGACGCTCCAGTAATATAGTATAGATCAGTATAAATTATAGCCTGTTTGCAGGCTAAAAAGTCAGGTTTTTAAAATTAAAGGTCATAAAATTCAAGATGGCGGCAAAAAGTAATGAAGATGTCGAGGATGTTAATACAACTCGACAATCTATGACACTTGTGCCAGTTACAGGTGCAATTTATCACAATGGGCTGGAAAAGCCTACAGAGCGATGGAGCTTTGAGCTTGGGTTAAATTTGTCGGAAGACAAATTGCTTTATACCATTTTGAAGCGCTTGGAAAAAGGTTATGGAATCAAGGACAAATGCGCCGCTTTGAATATTGCAAAGTTCAAGCTTCAGGTTTCAGCAAAAGATTTTACACCGAAATTACCTGAGTGGCCTAAAGGCAGGATTTTTTCTATTGACAGCCAGGAACAATGGGATAATTGCTTTCCAAAAATACTTGGGCATGAAAGAGAACTTATAGGTAGGCAACTTTTTACTAATGTTACTAATGAACTCTCTCATATATAAACTTATACATGTGGGCCATATTTAATAGTTACATGTTTTAATACATAAAAATAGTGACATTTATAGTGCGACTCTCAACGACGACGATATGTCAATATGTCATATGGCATAAAAGTTCAATAACTTGTTTAGTAATACAAACAATGTTTATAACAGGTGTCAGGTTTATCAGCTTCTTGGAATCAATTCACAAAATCACCTATAACCACCCAATACATGAGCAACGTACCCTTCAAGAAGTTGTTCTTATAGTCCAGTTATTTTTTTCGTTTTAGTGAAGGTCTTTGTAGTTGAAGTAGTTCATATGCATGAGGTACTAATGCAAGTTGCACGTACAAGTTCAGAGGTTTGCTCAAGTGACTCAAGTAATTTAAATAACAGTTCATCTCAGAATGCGGTGCCAACTGTGTCAACTGTGAATAAAAAGAAGAAAGCTGGTCGCCCAAAAACCACACACAGGAAAGAAGATGAGGAATTGTTTAAACGTTTGCGTCACAATCCAGATGGCAATGGAGTTGAAAGAAAAGAATGGCAAATAGCAAAGTGGGATCAATTCAAGTCAGGTTAGTAAATAAGCAGACCAGTTCAAATCACATAAGTTCATATAGATGCAAAATGTTATTATTGATATAAAAAAGATTGGAGCTAACATTTTAAAGATATATACTGTAGTACTACATTCCATGGTTTGCGTAACAGGTCAATAAATATCTGTGCCATACATTCCATCACTCATTTGAGTCAGTTGAGTGGCATTTGAAAATACATCTTTGGAACTGCATTTAAAGTGATTTCTCAAGTGTACTGGACATAAAAATCGACATATTTTGGCTGATCATAAATATCGTCACAAATCATTTCCAGTATTAAAAATATGCATATTGCATAATCTAAAATTAATTAAATATTTCTATCGTGAGCATATATTACCTGTATATCTATTTTTGTTTCTTTAGCAATGCAAAATAAGTTTGGTGTCCTTGCATTAAGCGAACGATGGATTCAGTGTGTTTGTAATAAGAGAATCATGCTTAATAAACCGCGTGCAATCAACTTCTTTCAAGCAAGTAAGTCAGTTAACTTAAAGCAAGAAAAACAATATGGGTATGACAAAATACTCCCAAGTAATTATTTGGTACATTAATGTAAGTACATTGATGTCATTGGTGTGCCAAAATTAGATACACTAGACTGAATAGATACAATAGAATCAAGCTTCTTCAATTATTGCACTTGTGTATTATGTGCTTTACAGTTTTGACACTTTTCCTTGGTGACACTCTTTCTCCATCAATTTCTAGGGCACTGGAAAGTCTGTTGTGAAAATAGGAGCAAAACATCAAGACATGACAGGAGTGGTCAGACTTCCATTATAGCCTGCTTCGAAAAACAGGCCAAAGATAAGGAACAATCTTCTCATTCTGAATGTGATCCATTGAGCAACAATGAAAATGACTTTGACTTGGAAAATTCAGGATCAGCTATAGATCTTGATAATATGTAAGATATAGGGCCATATACTGTTAGTATAACAGTTTAATAATTTATCAGTTATGAAATATAATATATTAAAGAGTTGTGTTAAAATATTGACAATAAAGGTGTTAGCGGGCATGTATTTTCTTTTAAATTTCAGAGAATATTCTGATGGCTTTTGTGATGTGCCAGATCTAGAGTTGTGTCTTCGTAACAATGATCAAGAAATCCTTGAAATGGAAGTGGATATTACACCTGAGACTGATGATGATAGTTATTCATCGTCATTCGATGAAACTGATAGTGATGATGGCAAGGATGAGTTTAGAAATAACAAAAATTATTTAGCAAATGAAATTAAAAGTGGATTTAAACGAATACACATTGCGCATGTTGACCCAGTTGCTGAGAAACTGCAGTCTTTCCTTAATGCTGGTATATTTCCTAAGGAAAGCATGTTTTATATTCTACTGAAAAACGCTGTCAGTTATGTAGATTGGTTTGCGAAAAGGAAAGAAAACCACAGTCTTCAATTTCAGTGGGACAATGAAGTTCTTCAGTTTCTTGAAAGCCTTGAGTATCATGGTGGAAGAAAGGTTGTTAACTTATGGAGGGGACCTGGTCATGATGGAGAAGGTCCGTCTGGTGCCGTTTCAGGTTTTGACTGGAAAAAATGGAACTGGCCTTTACCTGGAAAGACAACACGTGATAAAATGTACAGCGGATATTCGACAGAGAATGGAATATATGCTCCCCTTCTTCAGAGTTTCTTGCAGTTGTCAAGTGAAGCTAATAGTGATATACTAACACTCTATGAAGATAGTACAGTTAAAATAATACCTGTTGCACTCGCAAAAGACGGAATGCAACTAAAATCTGGATTGCTCTATGACAGTAGACAAGGGAAAATCATTGGAAGTACTCTTAACTTGGATTACAACTACATAAAGCAAGGTGAACCCGAAAAAGTTACCCTGAAAAGTTCAATTGTACAAGAAGCAGAAGCCATGTGCTTAACGACTCTTGATGCAAAGTTTTCCCTTCCTGTCGGTGTAAATAATTTAACCAAAGGACTTACAGCGTTAGATACTTTCAATATGATGAAGAATGAAACACAAGAAATAAATGTTTGCCTTGACCATTTGCAACACAGCAGAACTGATAGCATTATCGTTCAAAAAACCTGTTGCAGTCACTGTGCAATCTGCACTGAATTAGGAACTGTCTGTGATGCTTGCAGTGACAAAGGCCACACTGTTACCGAACCTGCTTTGCGACCTTGTGATTCTTGTCTGGAAAAAGAAATTCAGTGCATTAAAGCAGCAGTTGTGTGTGTTTCAGAGGATTCTGAATCAAGAAATTCTGGTGCACAAAAAGAGCTTGTGAGAGTAAACGACGAACAGTCTGACCCGTTTTTATCAATCATATCTCCCATTCCTGATGGTGTACATGTTGCTAAGAGAAAACGGAAGAGTTTCTCAAATTGGTTCCTGTTAGTAAATAACTACCGAATAAATTTGGTTCAACTCAGGGAGCTAAGTAATGACCACGCCTTACATTCAAAGCTAGCACCCTTGGTACCACTTAGTGCAGTTAGGAATCGTGATCGTCAAGATGTCGAATCTATAATGGAGATCTCGAGTCCATTGGTGAGAAAGATTCTTACAGATAATGCTAAAACTGTAACTCACACTGTGGTACCTGAGAAGTACAGGCTAAGGGAGGACAACAAAAGCGAGTTTTTAAGGCACCCATTGGAACATGCATGGGTCTCTTAGGACACATATTTGTCAGTGATGTTGTTCAAGGTAAGGTATACAAGGTGCGAGCGAATCACTATCCAGCAAATGTTACTGTGGAAATGGATAATTTAGAACATCCTATTGGAGTTGCTGTTTTTAAAGACATACTTTACTGTGTAGAATCTCAACGGAACACAATTGCATTTAAAGATTTAACAGGGGAGACAGTTGTCGATGTGAACAAGTTAACTGTCGAGAAACTTAAGAAGAAGTTGAAGGACATTGGTGCATGGAATGAAGATTATAAAAGAAAACCCAAAAAATATCTTCAAGAAAAGCTTAGAGAAGCCTTAAACAACAAAGTTGCTTCGGAAACAAATCCAGCACAACAGACGACACACCGCAGAAACCACCCTTCGCATATTCACTTTGACGGAGAAATCAAGCAGCCGGTGGCGTTATGTTTTGATCAAGATGGGAATATGTATGTTTCGACATTCACTGGTGCAGTATATGTCGTGTGGCTGCATTGCAACTTAGTTAGCTTAAAGGGAACTGTGGTATCTTCTCTTCAACTAAATTCTACACTTCTTTATGGGATTGTGTCATTGAATAATGTGGTCTACGTATCTGCACACGAAGATAATGGAGGAATTTATAAAATTACCTTTGATGATGACAATTGTGGCTTGGCTGAGAAGGTATTGAGCAATGGAAATTGATGATGACAATTGTGGCTTGGCTGAGAAGGTATTGAGCAATGGAAATTCATCCTGCAGTCGAGCACATAGTTTAACAAACTACACTCACAACTCCTTTGCATTTAGTGACACTGGAGACTCGTGCATCAAGACATATAACCCAACGAACAATCAAGTATCTGTTATCGTTGGTAATGGAACAGGCACGAGGGATGGAAGTCAAGCCCAGTTTTCCCAGCCCACAGGCATATGCTTTGATTATGAAACTTTGTTCACCGCGGATACGTCAACAGGTACCCTGCGTATGACAACCAACGTCAGTAGTTTGCTTGACTACTTGGAGCATCTACATTTATTTGGTGAGACGTTTGGACTTCACACAAAGAAGAGTACCTCGGTAAAAGTAGGCATATCCCAAGCAATTGAGAAATTAGAACGAGTTTATTCCTTTGACAAGAAGTGTGTTGATGCGGTTACGAATCTCATTGGCACCACAGCTGTGACACAAGGACCTCAAGGAACTGAGTCAAAAGTCAAGATCTGAGATCAAAAGTCTGTTGACGCTTGTTGTTGAAAACACATTCTCAGAAATGAGAAGTGGCGCCACCGACATGCCATTACAACTTGAATTTGATCACAGATTCAGCAGAGCCATTAAGGAACGTTTGAAAAGGCAATGTTCTACACCATTTGCTTACTTTACAGCCCCAAAGTCCTACTACCCACAGGTTTTCACCTCAACCAATTACAAGGATTTACCAAAGTTACATCCTCCAAAGGCACACAGGCTATCTGAGAAGCAAGTGAATGAAATGAGGAACTGGAGGGCAATGTATGATCAGAGCGTCCCCCAGAAAACAGCGCGAAACATGACTACAAAGGACAATCCAGGAACGCTTCCTATAATCTGTATGCAGCCGATTCTCCAACTGTACAGCCTATAGATTTTGCCACGTTGAGTGAATCAGCAGCGGTTTCATCGGCGCACAAGGAAACAACAGAGACTCTATATAAATTTAGCCAGATTGTCTGTGTCAAAACTGATTCCAGTGATACTCATCAGTTGTTCGTAATAGCACTTCTGCAAGAGAATGTGAGTGTTGGCATGAAGAGGGTGAAAGCCAAAGTGTTCAATCAAGATCCTTTCAATCCAGTGCTGTTTACGGAAGAGGAAGAGAAATTTGTGGAAGTGAACAACATCGTTTGCGATTTGACATGCTATAACTACCATGAAGATATTGTTGAGCTTAATGATAGTGATCTTACTCTTCTACTTGATATGCTTCAGCATACCAATGAAGTCGTCACAATCACAGAAGCAGATACAATGAGGCAAACTGCAGTGACAGAAGCCTCAGTCGACGAAGTTCAAGATCAGTCAACACGAATCCCGAGGAGAAGAAAAAGGCGGTTTGAAGACGATTTTTTCTACTATGAATAGAAAGGTTAGTAACCATACAAACAGGGGACAATTCTAATAATTTTTGGGATCATGGGAACAGCACAAAACATTTTTGGGATCAAGGGAACTTAAACTAAAATATTTTAGGGAGCAAGTGGCTTTTTTAAATGGGAACAGGGGATCAAATAAAAAAAAATTAAGGGATCAAGGGAACATGTACCACCCCTGGGAGGGGCTCGTTAGTGCACTTCGGCTGCAACTTAGTTAATTTAATGTAGAGATGAACTTTTCACAGACAGTGGTTGATTCCTTTACACCCCAAACTACCAGGAAGTGATATATCAAACTCTAACACAGGAAATGGCTATTTTGAGCCAAACAGGAACGGTCTTTCTCCGAAAATCAGGATTGAGTAAAATAACTTGTATAGTTGTATTAATGATTATATGAAACTTTAAATCACCAGCTTACCGACCATTTTACATAAGGCACATAAGGTGAAACTATGACTTAATTATATATTCATGGTAAGGGAAGTTGATCAGAAAAAACAATCGCGTAGCAACTCAAAACATGAAATAAATATTATTGCTAATTTATGCAACGAGCGAGATATTTTCATCTGCCCTTATAGCCTGCTTATATTTTCATCTGCCCTTATATTTTAATGCACAAGTCCATAAAATTAAGACGGTGCATCAAAGTTTTATTCAGTCAATCAATTAAAAGTCTCTGTTTTGCGGACAATCTTTGTGGACAATCGTGTTTTGTAGACATATATAGTTTAAATATGCGTAGATAAAGGAAGTTGACTGATCAGAAAACAGACAACCGGATCAGCTCAAAATATAAAAAAAACAATGATAATATCGGCACCCGACCATTGGAATGTTATTAATATTTCGCACCTTCCAAACTGTCTTCAATTGAATCTCTAGTTTGTATGAATTTACAAGCATAGTGAACCAGAAGTGTTAAAAATTCAGCATAATATATATCTAATATTTTACAACTGTAGCACTGAATTTAGAATGTAAACAAAGCGTTTGTTTACATTACGGACTTTACAACATCTTTAACTAATTATAGTCTAAAACTCTACATCATTATGCAATGACTGATAAGGAGGTCTAGCAACTGAAGACAACCCGCCGAGCGGCCAAAGACGTAGTAACTTCCTGTTTTGGAGCTTATATATATATCCTGCTTGCAGCTCGAGGTAGCATAAAGTAGAAACAACAACTGCAGGTTAAGAAGTTCGTCTGTACGATTAAGTTAGAGTTTAATAGAAGCACTCAGATACCTTTCTGCAAGATGAAGTGGCTGTTTGTATGTGTGTGGGTTTGTTTATTGTACGCTACTGTTGGTAAGTTTATATACGGTTGTTTTATTTGCTACCAAACCTTTGTACCACCTTGAATTTCTATTTTTGTTATTTAGCAAACGCTTCAGCTGAAGAAGCAAAAGTGAGAAATCGTCGTGCTCTGTGTGGAGGCAAATCGTACGATCATAGATTCAGCGTTTGCTGTGGTGGTAATATTCTCTGGAAAGGAAATGGTGCTTCGTGCTGTGGAACTCGCAACTACGATCGTAGATTCCGCGTTTGCTGTGGCGGTAAAATTCTCTGGAAAGGAAATGGTGCTTCGTGCTGTGGAAATCGCAACTACGATCATAGATTCCGCGTTTGCTGTGGTGGTAATATTCTCTGGAAAGGAAATGGTGCTTCGTGCTGTGGAAATCGCAACTACGATTATAGATTCCGTAAATGTTGTCCAGGAAACGTAATAAAATCCTGGTGTTGAGAACGAAAAACTAATAACACGCCTTAATTGTTATAATTATAAACTCTAGTTTAGACTCGATATAACTTTTTTCTGTTAAATTTAATCTGTGCGTTTTAATGAGTGTGTAATCATGAATAATTATTGCTATACTTTTGTTTCACATCAATTTGTTTTTGTTAATGAATTTGAGCACGAAATACTATCTTCTACTCTTGGAATTCATTCCTGTTAGTGCCTCATCCTAAATTCTAATGTCGACATTAAGTATAATTGTTTGATTATTAACCAGTATTTATACGAAGGCAACGATTGATCGAAGCGCCATAATGAACATAATTATTTTTATTATATCCTGTCATAAAACAAAGCACGCAAATATAATATAGTTTGTATAAACATTTGCACGGAGTAAAAGCCAAGTTATATATACACTTAAAATGAGATGATTTTTGTGGCTAGCCCGCGTTCAAAAGCGTTGATGTCTGTCCGGATTTTCGTAAAATAGCGTAGCCCGAAGTGGCTCCGACAGCTTGGCGATCTTTTGTATATCATCGGAAACCACTCGGAGGCAGCTCATTTGCATTTGCGATTTTGCGAACGTTCGATTGCGAATCCGAATACTTCGAAACCCGGACCGGACTCTAAGAAAATCCGGACTCGAGAAAAACCCGGACCCAGACTCGAAATAAAAACCGGACCCCCCATTTTCCTTTGCGCGCTCGTCCTTAGTTGCGGGCAGGGCGAAGGGGCCCTGGTTGCCGGCGTGCGTCTTTATCGGGCTTGCAGTGCACGCGCTGATCTATATATTACTGGGGCCGGTTGTATCAAGCCCGTTTAGCTTAAACGGTGGTTAAGCTCAAAACAGAAAGCAAGTCTATATATTCATTCAACAACCAAACTAAAAATTTTAAGCCTTAATAGAACGATAATGTTTACAACTACATATTTAGTGCATAATATTTGAGTTGACTGATTCACGAGAGATATAAGAGTGTTATTTAATTTTGACTTATACACCGTTTAAGCTAAACGGGCTTGATACAACCGGCCCCTGATATATAAATTTGATCAAAATAGAGGAGCCTGCGGAGGAGGCAGATCCGGACCCGTGTTTAAGAAAACCCGGACTTGACTTTTGAAAACCCGGACTCGAAATAGAAAAGCCGGATTCAAAACAAGGACTCTGTGTACGAAAATGCAAAGGTTTTTTGGAAAGGTTTAATAATAGTTAACATGATAAACGATGATCTCTTTATAACAATAATGATGTATATATCTTTAAATAAATTTCTAGAGTGCTGTTGCACTATCTGGCGTAGTGCTGATAAAGAATCTGCATGAGTTGCTCGGTAATAATTGCGGGTGTCCCTATCTCTTCCCGCTTTCTGTATATAGATATAGATAGAATACTTTATTTCAAAAGCAATAAAGCATGGTTTTGAAACATGTAGATCATTTTTTCTTCTAGTTACTCAGTGTTATCATGTTATGTGTTATGTGAGGATACTAATCAGTAATCATACTATGATTCCTCACAAAATAATCCGCACTATATAGTAGAAAAATTATTTAGACACTTAAACAGCTAAATCTACCCTAGAGCTAAATTAATAACTAAAATCTGTCTCAGCAGTCAAGAATGTCTTATCTGGAAACCATGCATCTCGAGCTCGTTACACAAGTGCTGCAACCATAGCAAACAACGTGTGAGACTCAATACTGAGTTTATCTATTGGTCGAGTGTCGAGGGTTAAATGTCGAGGGCGAGGGTAAAAAGTCGAGAGCGAGGGTAAAAAGTCGAGGGTGAGAGTAAAAAGTCGAGGGTAAAAAGTCGAGGGTGAGGGTAAAAAGGCGAGGGTAAAAGTCGAGGGTGAGGGTAAAAAGTCGAGGGTTAAATGTCGACTGCTAAATGTCGAGGGTGAAAAAATCACCAAAAAATACTATATTAAGGTTCGGTAGTATTGTTATATCACTTATATGAGCACTTTTAAACCAATAAAAAATAAACTGTCTATCTTAAAATTTAACGATAAGTACTCGGAGTTTTACGCCTGAATTTCACGCCTTAATCTGCTTTGCGGAATAATAATTTAGCCGATTAAGCACATACACTGATACTGCAACGGAACCATGTATACATATCAAGTTGCGATATTAATTGCCCCTATATTGTCGGTTTATTTATTTATTGTCGGTTAAATTAAAACAGGGCGCTGTGTTTTAAAGCGCCCTTCTTAGTATGTAATGTAGTTTGCGTAGAAAATATCAAAATAAACAATATATAACTGATTTTATTGCTGTCTGCACGGCTGCATGCAAATGCATCCGGACGCAAAGCCACGCTATGGCATATTAGAGAGTTTAAGCTTCGCCGGCGTTCAAACGTCTACTGAATGGCATACGCCAGAGGAGCAACGCTTTTGAGATAAGAACTGACGAGAAGATGAAGAGAAGAAGTTAAGCAAAAATTCTGCCAACAAAAAACGACTATGCCGTTTGCCGTTCCCGCAAATGCGAAGCTTAAACTCCCTTTTAGTATGTTTAAAACGTAAAATACGCCACGTAGTATATGTCGTAGAACGCATATTAGAGGTTTGATTATTTGGTTTAAACGTGCTCATATAACAATACTGCCGAGAAGACACATAGACGTCGCTATTTCCTTATCCGAAGCGGTTACCTTACCTTAATATAGTATTTTTTAGTGATTTTTTCACCCTCGACATGTAAAATATATTAGAGACATGTAATTGTAACCCTCGACTTTTAGCAGTCGACATTTAACCCTCGACTTTTTACCCTCGACTTTTTACCCTCACCCTCGACTTTTTACCCTCGCCCTCGACTTTTTACCCTCGACTTTTTACCCTCACCCTCGACTTTTTACCGTCACCCTCGACATTTAACCCTCGACACTCGACCAATAGATAAACTCCTCAATACTGACAATGAAGTTTGACAATAAATCAAGTTATTTTGAGAATCAACATGCTACCCTCGTACTAGCAGACCTTCCAACCTCTGAAACACCCAAACCTTGAGATCCCAATAATTTACCCGAAGAAACCTTGAGATTTGGGTCCCAAACCTTGAGATTTTCAAATTTTTCGGAAACGAAGAAACATCAACAATAACAAATATTAGATAGATTTAAACTGTCATAGTAAGTGTTTCTTTAGCTAAAACTAAGTCTAAATAGATGCTAAATATAGCAAAATGAATGCAATCAATGTCAGGAAATTATCTACACTGTTCCCCGATTCCTTTCCCCGATTCCCCATTCCTTGTTATAGTAATAGCCGAAGTTACTTTGCTAAAACGGAAATAATTTTTATTGAGTTTGTTTTTTTGGCAATATATATATACTGTATATATATATATTCGGGACTTTGAAAGCTATCATTGGATTTGCTACCATTGAAATGATGGCCTAAGCCACAAAACACGGTCGAGTTATTTTTCGTGTCATTTTGACAAATTTTTCGAAAGTGTGCTGTCCATTGATACATGTGTTGGGGTATATTTTACCCTTGCCGTCATCACGTTGTCTGCTATGGTTGCAGCAATCGTGTATCGAGATGGTTTCCAGACAAGACATTCTTGACTGCTGAGACAGATTTCAGTTATTAATTTAAGTTTAGGGTAGATTTAGCTACTCGCGGAAGTATGCATAAATGCATTTTGGTGTTCAAGTGCCTAAATGATTTGTTCAGGTTTACTATATAGTGCGGATTATTTTGTGAGGAACCATAGCATGATTACTGATTAGTATCCTCACATAACACATAACACTGAGTCACTAGAAAAGAAAATGATCTACACCTTTCGAAACCAAGCTTACTGCTTTTCAAATAAAGTATTCTATCTATATCTATATATAGAAAGCGGGAAGAGATATGGACACCCGCGCGAGAGAACAAATCCGCAAATTTAATATTACCGATGCAACTCAGATTCTTTATCAGCACTACGACAGACTGTGCAACAGCACTCTAGAAATTTATTTAAAGATATATACCGGATTATTGTTATAAAGAGATCATCGTTTATCATGTTAACTATTATTAAACCTTTCCAAAAAACATTTGCATTCTCGTACACAGAGTCCTTGTTTTGAATCCGTTTTTTTCTATTTCGAGTCCGGGTTTTCAAAAGTCAAATCCGGGTTTTCTTAAACACGAGTCCGGATTTTTTCGAGTCCGGGTCCGGGTTTTTCTCGAGTCCGGATTTTCTTAGAGTCCGAGTCCGGGTTTCGAAGTATGCCATTTATTTTATTAAGTAGAAAACCAAACTGTTACTAGCTACATTTAATTTTTCCGTCAAATTATATGTTTGCGAAAAAACTGTAAAGATATATACCTGAGACAAAAGGTGTTTATGTACCGTTTCACAATGATCCAGTACACGTTATAACGTTACAGTAAAATTAGAACCATTTCCAGCCATTTCACAAGCTCTAAATTTCACAATTCTCCCGAGAGAGTAAGGCTATAACTTCCATATGTAGCGCTTTTTTGATCGCTGCAAAAGGAGCAAAAATGACAAAAAGGAAAGCGGTAAACCTTCGTTTTTGGTCCACTTTTAGACTTTTGAAAAAGGGCAAAAATGATAATTAAATTTTCAAAAATCAAAAAGTGATTTGAATGAACAATACGTTAAGGGGTAAGCCTGTATTCCCCCCCTTTTTCAACAATCAAAAATGTGGCGAAAAATGGACGAAAAGTTATAAAGGGGTTAACCTTCTGCCTCGTCCCCAGGCGCTAATAAAAAATTTCATGCGAGTCACTATATGAAAGGTTTACATGAAGTAGTGCATCATGACGAACAAGCGCAGGGAGTTATGGGCTTGAGGCATCGTCATATCCCACTGTCCTTTGCTCGCGCCTATAATGTGACGCACTACTTCATGTAACCTTTCATATAGTGATTCGCAAATTTTTTAATTAGCGCCTGGGGACGAGGCAGGTTAACCTTTACTTTTTTGCATTTTTGCCCCTTTTTCAAAAATCAAAAAAATAGCTAAAATGGACGAAACGATAAGGGTTAACCATTATTGCATTAATCTTTTGCCATTTTTGCCTCTTTCAACAATCAAAAAAGTGGCAAAAAACGGACGGAAGTTTAATTAAGGATTAGTCGAAGGCTAAACACTAGAAAATGTTATTAATTTTAAATTGTTATCGAGGGAACTCGATAATACATATTGTAATATTAATGAGAACCTGCTCTAGAATTCAGTTATTAATGTTCACTCAGTCTGGCACTGTTTATTATCTTGATGACAGAATGTTTTGTTCAGTTTCAAATGTGTAGCGGTACTAGAAGATAAATAAAGTGCTGTAGATAGTAATTAAAAGTAAATTCAAACAGAGAACATAAATCTCAGTGGTGCTCAGTTCACAAAATATATTGGGGGGAGAATTTAGATCGCAAACACAATGACATATGACCTCCAAAAAATCTAGTTCTTTAAAACGTTAATTTGCCTCAATTAAAATTCGATCATAGACAATCCAGAAGACATTGAACAGTGTCTTCTGGCTTGTCTATGATTCCATGTATATATAGCCTGATTACCTTTTTTTCAATATCTCCAGGACATCGATTCCCTCTTATTTGTTCTGATACCTAAACAAATAAATAATGTAGAGATTTTAGATTCATAAAGATTTTTCAACCAATGAATGTATTAAATGGCATTATAGATTTAAAAGATCTTCTTCATTATACTGTACACAATAAACTGGTATAAAACAGACTATAATAGCAAGCATGGTGCATTGGGGCGCATGGCAGCAGGATTAAGTAACAAACTGTAGTCAAAGATCTTTCCCTCGAAACATTGAAGAAGCTTCTTTTAAAATAGCTCAACATCCTTCGACAACCAATTTGTTTATTTAACGCTTCCTGTATTGCAAGACCACATTCAAACATGGCAATTACTCACGTTCGCTTTTTTCCACAAAAGTTCAAACTTTGGATTGACCTGAAACAACACGCCTTGAATTGCTACAAACGATAAAATACATTTTTATGAGTTGAATACTGTATCATCGTTTTCCTAAAAGAAAAATTTGAACTTGTGTCTTTTGAAAAAGAAAGATAAAAACAGGCCAAGTATGCTTGTGGTTTCACCCTATATGCATTTTCAGACCAAAATGTACCTGATGTACCTTAATATGTACCTGATGTTTGTTTATTGACGGGTGAAGATGGTTGATTCTGTGTGGTTGGTGCTGTTCCTTGCAGACTGACAGGCACAGGCATATGATGTCCTGGGCTAGAATAAGGCAATGCTTGACTTGCACCGGGGTAACTATAAAACACAGAAAATATAAAATGTACACATGTAAATACAAATCAATTTAACACTAGAAAGTGTAACAAATCATTTTGGAAATTTCCCTTCAATATTTTTTTAAGGATGGTATTGTTTAAGGATGCTATTGTACAGTAATACAGTATTTCATAACTTTGTTTGTCACTTTGTTTCTTGATAATGGACAAAAGCAAAGACTCACCCTTGATGTACATTTGGAGGTCTGTAGGTCATAGCCGAATTATACGGTGGTGGCCGTCTCACAATACCATTTGGGATTGTCTGATAAGAGATATTGATACCATTTACATCATTTCTAAACAAAACAATTAAAATAAACTTAGTACACACACAGGCAATTCAATTCTTCATCCTTTTCATATGGTGAGTATTTCAAATGTTTGATAGAGATAACTATGACTTGCAACTTACGATATTGTATAAAAGTTTCCGAGAATCTTCTCTCCTTTCGATTGCTGCACAGCCACAATATTCACCACACCAGTTGCAGCTTTCTGATTGCTCTCCGTTTTCAAGCACAGCACATGTTTCCGGAAGGATTTTTCACTTGCTGTAATACAAGCAGTTAAAGATTTACTACTGATGTTTTTCATCAAAACAATTAGTTTCAACTGATAAAAAAATGTTTTGAAAGCTTTTGCACAAATGCAAAGGCAGGACCACAGGCAACCCTTAGGGATCACAGCAAATTTAAAACTCATGTTCAAATCATTATGAGGGTGGGAAAGGGTATTTTCGTGAGCCGTGAATGGTCAATATTTGTTCGTGTGAAATGCTTGTCACTGTCGTGAAATGTGATTTGTTCTACAGCCGTGAGGCGTGATTGTCGATAAAAATGCTCCATTACATGTGAATGAGAATTAAGGATGTCTGCTTCATGAAATGTAATTTTGCTTTGTTTATTTCGATCTATTTTATAATAGTCATAATAAACATGATACGCGATAATCAATTTATATGATCTCACTCGATTGTACAAGAGTAAAAACTTCGGAGGCCTTTCGGAGGTACATGCTTGTCACTCACTTGACTCAAACTTGCAAGTTATGATGTAGTTTTGAACTGACAGGTAGAGAAGTGAGAGAACTTAAAGCGTAGATACTGTACCATGCATTAAACATATTCTTAATACACCTATTATTATTATGTTATTTTATTAGAATCTAGTTTTCTGTGAAATTGCTTTTTTAAGACACATGAATTGTGAAACAGCTTTTTTTCCGTTGTGAAACGTGATCCATACCCCCCCTTTCCCACCCTCCATTGTGACTAACCATCATTAGCACAAGTCTTTATAGCAGTAAAGCCGGTAGGAATGGAATCTTTTTCCTTCACAATAGTTATATCTGTGACCATTGTTGGTGAATTCTAAACAAGAATAAATCAATTAGAAATGTAAAGTATGGTAGTTTATTTAATAAGGGTACTGTACTATTACAGTAATAATTTTATTTATAATAGTATAAAAAATAGTTTTTGTGAAATTAATAATACTGATAGCACTTTCTCAAGCGTGGTGACCATTGAAAACCATCACAATTTACCTGTATTTTTGCAAAACACAAATATCTTCCACCTCCTTTAAGGAAAGATCCTTCATAGAGATTTGCATCATGATTACCACTGAATGTTGTAGTAAGCTACAAAGAAATATTTACAAAAACTACCATGAATATAATCTATTGGTCATTTTGTACTGGAGACAAATGATCCATCTGGAGAAATTACTTGAGCATAGTGATTGACCAATTGTGCCACAATCGGAATTTACTAATTACCAATAGACCTTTCCAAGGTTTCTACCGCCATATTGCAGGGGGTGCAAAAACATTGGGGCGAGGGCGCGGCCACCAATGCCCATACTATTTCCTATTGAGTGAGTGAAAATTACCTTTTGACATTTTGTCCTTTTTCTCAAAAAATTTCTATACAAGCATATCCAATTTTTATTTTTAGATAATCGCTGGTTTTTTTCTGATATGTGGCCAAGATTACTTGCTAATCGAAAGACAGGAAGTAATAAAAAACGGCGGCTTTTGTTGCACACCTTGACCGACGTTTGAGCGATGATTCTTGTTATTACGTTTGTTTAACCGATCTTTGGAAGAATATTTGTCCATTAAGTGTGTAAGTCCTTTGGTGTCCGCCATTATTACTGTTTATATTTTGTATATTTGTACAAAAATCATCGCTCAAACGTCGGTCAAGTTGTACAACAAAAGCCGTCGTTTTTTATTACTTCCTGTCCTTTGATTAGCAAGAAATCTCGGCCACATATCAGAAAAAAACCAGCGATTATCTAAAAATTGGATATGCTTGTATAGAAATTTTTGAGAAAAAGGACAAAATGTCAAAACGACAAAAGGTAATTTTCACTCACTCAATAGGAAATAGTATGGGCGCCATTGGTGGCCGCGCGCTCGGCCCAATGTTTTTGCACCCCCTGCAATATGGCGGTAGAAACCTTGGAAAGGTCTATTCATGCAACCCGTGATGCAACAATCTGCACAATTCCGATTTCATAATGACGTCATTCATTTCGATATTTTAATGCAAATTTCCATTGTAACATGTTACTCAGCAACCAAAGTTAGTTAAAACCATCCATAAATGGCAAGCTTCACAAATTACTTTTGTCACAACAACGTTTGCACCACACCTAACATGCAACATAATATCGTTCATGTGAGAGATTAAACATTGGATTGTCAATATTTTCAAAAAAAGAAGAAGTGGATTCAGTTGCAATCTGACAATCAATGTGCAACATACGTAATTCTCAATGTTGGTTTTACACAATTGATCGGAAAATACAGATCATTTTACCGATTTCGATTGTCGCCCGACAATCCAATAATGACAAAGGTTTCGAAACAAATTGCAACACAAATGAAAGTGGCATTAAATTTATTAAAACAACATAATTTCAATGCCATTGTACAGTAGCAACGACGTTTTCAAGATGAAATACACAAAATGAAAAACATTAAATGCAACAAACAGACAGACTACCATCGACACAAAGTATGGTACAGTATCTGACAGTGTGTATTTCATGTACCCAGATAAACATATGTGTACTGTATATTATGGAACTCACCAAACTCGGCAAACAAAATCGCATAAATAATTGTATCGCCACCGCCACTCCCACAAACGTCTATGACTGAACCTACATATTTTTTAAACAGCCAATCAACGTTTAATTGTAATTGTTACCAAGAACCGGATTTGACCATTTCAAATTAGAATTGTAAACAATAAAAAATATGTAGGCGAGGTCATAGACGTTTGTGCGAGTGGCAGCAATACGAGTTTTTGATGCGATTCCACAGTTCGGTGAGTTCCGTAATACATAGTTCATCCTGAAAGATGATCGGTCTGTTTGACATATTTATACATATATTTTCTTTTCTTTGTGAACTAGTTGTGTTTCATCACTTTCATGTTTACTTTTATACTACATTAAAGAACAAATTATTCAAATTCCAAAGTCTACTTCTCAAAGTTTGTTAACGCAAGAAAACGTGCTCAAAGTCTCTTATCACAGAAACTTCACCACTTTAAACTGACTTTACAAGTAAATAAACACACAATACAACATCAGAACTAAAACACACAAAAAAGTCACAAATTTGACACAAGGTGTACTTACAATTGTGTAACCGGGCAGGCATTTGTCTTTACCAGAAACAACAACAATATCTGTAATAAACTGTCCGCTGTTCATGTTCAAAATCTACAGAAAATTTAATCAAAGAGACTAGAAAATTCTTGTCCAAAACATTCTATAAATTTGTTCCACATTTTGGAAAATTTGAAAATCCAGGAGTGACGCCCACTGTCCATTGTAGTGTCATCAGCGGACACTGTTACGATGTAATAGTAATACTTGGTGTATGACAAATATAAAAGATCAATATTGAAATGGAGCATTTCCCTCATAGAGGGCCCATTGGCTCCATTTTGTGTCATTCAGTGAAATGTACTCATTTTAGGTAAATTAGTACAAGCAATAAAATACGTATTTGATATTCGTCAATTTTTCTTAATAATATATTTTGCGTTCATCTTTTCAACAATCAGTTATTCATATAGTTCATAAATATTAAAAAATTAATTAAGTTTACAATTTCTGCAGGCATATTCTATTACATTAAACGTTTTATTTTCCGATTCTTGTGCGACAGCATAGGAACAGTCTCAATATCAATTCCAACCTGTTTCACAGGGTCTCAGGGAGGGGGGCGGAGATGAGACACTAGAGACCTTACGATTTTAGAACGGCAACCGCGACGGCGACGGCCAAAACAAACTCCTTCAAATAAATGGTAGTCGATAGTTCGTCGTATATTATCAATCGTATGAATTTAATACAGTCTTAGAAGTTGAACACATGGGTTTTATGGTTGGGAAGAGTTCTGCTAAACCCCGTTTGAAGTTGCACTTGTTGTGGCTTGGAATGCAGCCGTTGTATCAACACGTGAAAATCTGTGATTTGGCGTTTTAAGCAGAGCGAGGACAATGTCTAAATTATTCATTTATTGTAATTACTCAATTCTTCTCAATGATCTATTGTATTGGTAGCCGTTGCCGTCGCGGTTGCCGTCCTAAAATCGTAAGGTCTCTACTGGAAGGGACGAGAAGGGTGTAACATGTTGGTTCAACATAATTCAGCATTGTTCGTCCAGTTTCACATGCTTTCATTCTTAAACTCGCTTCAGACGAAACATTACGCGAAAACCAGTATGCGTAGCTAGCCCCTCCCCAGCGCCTGATATCCAGGCTACACAGTAACATGCATGGAAGAGATTATTTCGCTGGCCTCAGAGTGACAAAACGTAACAAAACAACAGTTTTACCAACTCTAACTCCATTCCAAACACCAACTCTTAATCCTACTCCAAGTTTGTTTCTAAACCAATCATGAAGAAAAAAGGTTTGACGAAATGTCATTCTGAGGTCAGCGAAATAACTTCTTTCTACATATGCATAACGAATATTCGACTACGTTCGGCCAAGTCTATTTCCATAAGAAATATCAATGCTCAATGTATACAATTTCATGTTCAAAGACCGCAATTACTGCATTTTCCCATTCAGTGCACTTTCATTTTCATCCATTCGTGATTGACTATCTACTAAATTACTCATCCGTGACATCAAGACATCAGAACGGTCTGCTGGGTATATCTGGACGATTTGGAATTGATGGAGTGGATTTTCCTGGTGGTGGAGGGGCTGGCCGACCTAATACAGGACGTCTAAACAAAAATATATTATATTATGTCACAGTATATTTCGACTATTTATACTGGATAGCTCCATCAGTTCTAAACTGTTCTGCCTAGAGGTCCAGTAAGGATCATCTCTTGTTGATATAGTGTTACTACAGGAGGAAACTAAACTAAACTAAACTAAACTAACTTTATTTATACTGGATAGCTTATTTAGTTCTAAACCGTTCTTCCTAGAGGTCCAACAAGGATCATCTCTTATTGATCCCGAGTGATACTACAGGAGGAAACCTAAACTAAACTAACTCTATTAATACTGGATAGCTCATCAGTTCTAAACTGTTCTCCCTAGAGATCCAGTAAAGTCATCTCGTATTGATCCAGTGTTACAACAGGAGGAAACCTAAACTAAACTAACTTTGTTTATACTGAATATATAGCTCAATCAGTTCTAAACCGTTCTCCCTAGAGGTCGAACAAGGATCATCTCTTATTGATCCAGTGTTACTACAGGAGGAAACCTACACTAAACTAACTTTATATATACTGGATAGCTCTATAAACTCTAAACTGTAACAGTAAGGATCATCCCTTATTAATCCAGTGTTACTACAGGAGGAAACCTAAACTAAACTAACTTTATTTATATTTATTGATCCAGTGTTACTACAGGAGGAAACCTAAACTAGACTAACTCATACTGGATATCTCTATCAGTTCTCCTTAGAGGTCTAGTAAGGAGAAAAGTCAGAAAACCTGCAGGATTTGTTTGATAGAATCAAATTGGGAATTACAGGAATAGAGCCTTGGTCACAGAAATGAAAGGCACATGCAGAAAACACTGCGCCACCAGCAGCTCGTGAAAAAATAACAAAGCAAAGCTTACTTTGGAATTGAGGGTATCGATGAGGAATCAGGACGACTAGGGATAGGAGGAGTTAAACCGAATGATGAAGCCGTATTATAAGCAGCGTATGCATTTTGTGCGTTCTGGACTTGTTGGTTGATTTCATTGCGGTCTGGAATGTTTGGTCGCTGGGCGGGTGGCTCTGGTCTGGTGCTGGGTCGGCTACGTGGAGGAGGGTGTCGCGAGGGGGTAGGACTACCGGATGGACGAGAGGGTGCGTTTGAAGAAGAAGGTGGAGCGGATCGGCTACAAAATAAGAATGATGTTTAGATGATAGCAATTTCCGCACGCAGTACAAAAGTATACAAACTTTGCAAGGCTATATGTATTTTCCGCATTTTACAACATTTCGCAACCAAACTTAGCAATTTTACTCATTTTAGTATGCTCTTTCTAGCTGTGGTGATTTATTTGCATCCCCTTGCCTAGTTGCAAAATTAGTGTATAATGAGAAATGTCTATTCTATTCACTTGTCAGGAAATGCAAGACTAGACTACCACAATACATATAATGAAAAGAATGAACATTACTTTCTCACTCTGATAATCGCAGATTGACCACCATCTGCTGCGCGATAGTGCTTAGTCAAACCCATCTATTAGTCTATACCTACTATTTCCTATTGCATCCCAATGAAACCTACCTATTACTATAAGATAACTATACCTGGATGGGGCGGGGGGTCGGTAATTGGATAATTGGTCATCATCTTTCTCTACAGGTGGGGGTAAAGGTGTAGATATGGTGTGCATATTGATATCACCAATGATATCTAGAGCTTCTTTAGTGCTATGGTACAGTTTGAGCATTTCCTCTCGCCTTTGTACTTCTTCTTCGCTCTCCTCCATCATCGATTTCTAAAATATTTCAAATTCAACCATTTCAGATTTTGGATTCCAATGCTTAAATAATGCATGTAAATGTATGTAGACCAGATCAATTTTGTCGCTTGTATATGCTGTGAGGGTTAGGATTGTTAACATTCCTACCGTATCACCGCTAGAATAGATGTGAGCCAAAATTTCGGAGCCGATGAAATCTTTGGTCTAAGAAGAAGAACATGCAGTATATTATTTTTTTGTGGCCAGCTCTATACGTTTTTAATTGCTCTCTATAGAAGTCCAGAGAGGGTTGTCATCCCTTATAGGTTCAGTGTTACAAGAGAAAAGAACTTAAACTAAATTAACTTTATTTATACTGGATAGCTCTATCAATTCTAAACTGTTCTTCCTAGAGGTCCAGTAAGAATCATCTCTTATTGATCCAGTGTTACTACAGCTGGAAACCCAAACTAAACTAACTTTATTTATACTGGATAGCTCTATCAGTTCTAAACTGTTCTCCCAATAGAGGTCCAGTGAGGATAATCTCCTATTGACCCAGTGTTACTACAGGAGGAAACCTAAACTAAACTAACTTTTATAAGTGTTCTCTCTAGAGGTCCAATAACTTACTACAGGATGAAACCATAGAACTCTGAGAACGGAGGTAAAAAATATAACTTCTACACTTACATTTTGTACGATCATAAACATACAGGCCTTCGGGACAAGATCCCTGATCGTTTTACTGACAATTTTGAGGTATGAATCCACGAGATTACGAATGGTCTCCACTTGTCTTTCCATTTGAGGATCAAGACTGCCCAACTCACTTCCCTGATACAAATAAAAATATTATGATTTCTACATTGAGAACGAACTTAGTCTGGTCCGGTGTAGGTGTTAACTGTCTAACAATACTCGATTGTATTCCGTATATCAAATGTTGCCTGTTTATCACACGAACCGACTGCATTCCTAGTCTTTTTGAAAATAAATCAGTACAATGACAAACCATACCTTTTCATTCTCATTCTGTTCTCTCTGTGGATAGACACCAGCTCTGAGAAATGATGCCTTCCATTCGTCAACAATATCTTGTGTTTCGCCAGCCATCTCTAACTGCTTGTGATCTTTGAACAGATTTCTAGTCGAAACAAATGCGAAAGTCAAGTTTGAACTCTGGCTCTCCGATGGGGACAGATGTTTTTATAGCGTGGGGGGTCGCTCACACATACACCTCTAAAAACTTGTAAAAAGAGAACCCCAGTAGGATATCTGATTGAAGTTTAATTCTCTTGACTTAGTTGAAAACTTGTCCGTGTGTAATTCACGTACTTTTGGTCAGGATTAAAAAGAGCAAAAGCTGATTTCCTCGCCAGCCATCCAGCTTCTAAGTCCCGTAGTTTGCAGCCTTCTAATCGTAGCTGATATTTTTGTTCCTTTTCCTGCAGAAATAGTTACACCTGGTTATTTATGAAATAGCGTAACTGACTTTTTTCACGTATAGTTTTTTCAACTATAGTTTTCTTCACAACTTAATTTTTTCCAGTTCAAGAAAAATATATAACCTACTTCTTCGTCTTTGTACCACGAAAGCGATTCGGCTGCAGAAATGAGAAGAAAAAATGATAAACATTTACAAATCATATACAATCATATAATCGCAAATTTTCATGTTGATATGAATAAGATCAAATGCACTTTACATCAAGTAATACGCTTACCTATAATTACTTACTTAGCCTAGACTATTTTATCTTTACAACAATTGTACTGATATTACTTTTTTAACTGTGTTTATCCTAACCCACCCTGTCAACTTTCCCTGTGGGAGGAAACCGGAGCAACCCGAGGAAAACCCACGACTTTCGGCAGAGCGTTGACTGACTCTTTTCACATGAGTCCGTAGCGAGAATCGAACCCACAAACTCAGAAGATTCTCAGAACTGTAGAAAGACATATAAGCTACTTACAAAAGTCCGAATATCTTTACCTGTAAGAACAAACCAGTATTCTTTCGCGACGACACTTTTCATAAACCCGGTGTTTGTGATCTGCAACCATCCTTTCCGTATGACCTGCAGAACGATAAATAACCGAGTGATTATTTATCTTACCAAGTTATTTATCTTTACTTGTAATGCTCGTTATATTTGCAAAATTTTAACCTTTATTCTATAGGTAAATTTTCACCAAGCTATAAATATACAATGTTTCTTACTTGATTCCCAATTCCTTTTCGCTTCCGTTCACCACTCTGTGCGCTCGCGTTTGAACTTGCCCTGTATTCAAACATAATATAGTGTAGTCAGGCAATGTTCCCCAAGTAGCTAATGTCCTCATATGAGCCATTCTCGTGCCATGCGACCAGGCATTGTCCGCCATCTTGGCTTCAATCCAAGGCCAATTTCAACTCAGGAAAATTTTCCGCAGAAAGAGAAGTGATTGGCCGACACAAATTTTTCGTCGGAAAAAAATTTTGAAGTTGAAAATTTTCAACTTTTAACAATGACATTTTCAGAAAATTCTCTCCCTGTTTGGCAGCATAAATGGCGGCCAAGGCCTGCTCGCATGGCACGAGAAAGGCTAATACATGCACATCCTTCCAGAAAGTGCCAAGTCTTGGCTAGTTGGCTATAGAGTATAGACTCGTTTTCGCGATTGAGATACTGGGTTTAAGGTTACAGAACACCTTTGAGTGTTAATTTTGCCTAAAAATTTTTTATTGGTTTCCATGAAAGCATTAGACTAGTTCTACTATCCGACCAAGTTTGAACGAAAAATGTTAAAAACTCGCAGAGTTATTTAATAAAATACATTTCGCTGCAATAAGAAAAACATTGAAAATGTAATATTCAAATTCAATTTTCTCCCGAAAAATTTTACGGTAATTACTGATTTTCAAACGAGTTGTTCTCCTGCGGGTTTTAACCAATTTTTCTCAAATTTTCACAGGACATAGCTAAAGACGTCAGTTTCAAAATTGTGTTCGGCTTTTTTTTAATTTTGGATATTTTAAAAATAAAGAGAAATTTACTAAAACAATTCAGAAATAAATTGCAGTCGTCAAAGAAATCGCCATATCAGCGGAATGACGAAATAAACAAAAATTTCCGAACACAATTTTTTAGAACAACTATTTTACTGTATAAAAATGATATTTTCATAAATATAACTTAAAACCAGCAGGAACATAACTCAAAAGCGTAACGGTACCGCGATTTAAGATTTTCCTGAATAATTTTTACATTATTTTATTGTTTGTTAATTTTACAACTTTATCATATTTTGCATGCACTGGAGAACATTTGGTGAAAATTTGATGAAAATCGGACTGATATTGAGCGCGCAGTAGCGATTTTCCGCAAAACGCCAAAAAAGGTGTCCTGTAACCTTAAAGCCCTTTACCTTGTTACAGGCGACACGTCTACAACATCATGCAGTTATGTCAGTGAATATAAAAGACCTGTTCATAATTTTGTAATCAGTAACAAGATAAAGGGTGCTAAAGCCAATAATCTTGAACTGTTTGTGCCTGTGTAGGTAGTTTTAATAGTACGAACAAGCTTTCGTTCGTAGGGATGCAACTACTTGAAAAATATAAAGAGAATTTTCAATTTTCAATTTTCAATTCAATTCAATTTATTCATATAATATACGTACATACATTAATAAGACAAGCCGCTAATAGCTACAAAGCTAGTCGAGGCGGACTTGTCTATAGTGACACAGTTACAAAACCATTGATTTCATTGATCCAATGAAATTACATATTAATAAACTTAACGTTTTTAGAAAGGGAAAAAAAAAGTAATAATAATAATATACTGTATATCAATTAAGAACAGGGAAAAAAGTGGGAGTTAACACTTCAATTTGAGGCTTCATTGCGTGATATTTTCTTAATTTTACAGCTGAGCGACTCTATGTCCGGATAAGTGTTTTCATTCTGTAAAATGTCCAAAAGGATACTACGTATCCTTTTCTTAAATGCTCTTTTTGGCAATTCTCTTATGCAAGATGGTATCTCATTCCACCATTTTACTCCAACATGAGAAAAAGACTTTCGTTGAATTTCTAGTTTCGATTGTTTAATGTAAAAATTATTTGACTTTGAAGAACGAGTATTATAAGAATGAATATCTGACGTTTTCTGGAAAAGATTGAGAATATTGACTGGTGCAACTCTATTTTTAACATCATGCATCAATGTAAGTACATTTTCGTAGAATAAGATATTTACTGGTAAAATATTTGTAGCAACAAAAAAAGGTATTGCGTGTTCTCGTTTATCTGAAAAATGGATGAAGCACACGACAATAGGAGAGATATGGACCTATTAGCGATTTATAAATATTAAGTAAAGTATGTTTAGGTACAAAGTGCCTTAATTTTGAAATCATGCCTACAGTTTTACTTATTTTACTTAGAACATGTTCTACATGATATTTCTATGAGAGATTCTTGTCCATTAAAACCCCTAGATATTTAATATAATTTTCACAATTAAGCTCTGTATATCCATTCAATTCGTTATTATACATTTTGATAATAGGCTGATATACTAATTTCTTTTAATATGGATGAAAAATAACAAAATTAGACTTTTTTAAATTAAGACTAAGTTTATTTGAACTAAGCCAGTCATATAAATGGCAAAGTTCTTCATTAACAATTTTTTCAAGAGATTTAAGGTCTTTTTCGGAATAGAGTAGATTTGTATCATCAGCAAATAGATAAAATTTAAATTTCTTAGAGCAATTTTCAATATCATTAATATAAAGCAAGAAAAGTAATGGACCCAAAACCGATCCTTGAGGCACGCCACGCGTTATTGTAGCCTTTTTGGATATGTGATTACCAATTTGTGTACTTTGCGTTCTACCATTTAAATATGAACTAAACCAATCATTAATTATTCCTCTAAATCCGTAATAACATAATTGTTGTAAAAGAATTTCATGATCAACGGTATCAAAAGCTTTTTTTAAATCAATAAATACTCGACGTTTCTTTTTTTTTCTTTTTTTTTTAAACAATCTTTTGTGAGGAAGCCTTATCATCAAAGATGGTTTTCACAAGGATCCTCAAATAAGAAGGAAAGAATTATTTACATAAAATACTGACTATAATTATTGCTATCTACTCCAAACATGCAACAAGATAATGAAAAAAAAAAATTAATTAGAAATCCTAAGAAAGTTCAAAAGTTAATTAAATGGTCAATTAAGTCCACACTTAAAACACTAAGATAACAAGTTATTCATTACATACTGAGACATATTTGTTTTTAAAAGCTAAAAAGCTACTAGAATCTTTGACAAATGGCGGAAGATTATTCCATTCATTAAAAAACATATAGTGCGATGTTTGTTGACGTCCCCAATTGGTTCTACAAAGGGGGAGTCTTACTGTTTTTTTCTTGTATCATGACAGTGTAAATTACTTCCTTTAATTTATTCCATATTAAAGTCGACATTATTGTTCAAGGCTTTATAAACAAAACTACATCTGTGGAATTGTCTTCTATACGACAAAGGATACCACTTCAACATTGTTAAAGCCTGGCTATACTAGAAGCATCGATTGGTAGATCCAACACAGTTTTATTCAGTTATTTTTTTTTTAGTTTTATTTTTTTTATTCAGTTTTGAATTAAGGCCCTTCGTCTGGCTAGTAACTCCAGACGAAGGATCTTCGCTCGAAACGTCGAAATTCTCCTTATATTTTTCAGGTAGTTGCATCTCTACCAACGAAAGCTTGTTCATACGAAAGCGAATGTCTCAAACACGGAAACAAGTCTCCATAGCCATGGCTAAGTAATTTCTGGAAGGGTGTACTGGCAAGAGATTGCATTGGTGTATATTGGCAAGAGATACTTACGCAGCATAACCTATGAAATCTTGATGATTCGTGTTTATGTACGACAGCTCAATATCGATAAGAAGCGTCACGTGTTCTTTGGCTCTGACTTCTCCACGCTTGACATGGTTGGATACAACCTGCTCGACTTCATCTCGTAACCGAGGATACTTGGCCATCTGAACAACAACATACCGTAAACCTCCAACTATAACCCCCCTCCCGAATATAAGCCCCCCCCCGTGTATAAGCCCACCACATGTACTAACGCTCACCTCATTCCGAATATAAGCCCACCCGAATATAAGCCCCTACGAATATAAGTCACCCGAATTAATATAAGCCCAGTAATCGCTGCTTAATACATGTTTATTTTCCTGTTTATGACTGACTTGTTTATGTCTGACTTGTTTATTACTAGCCCCCTCCCCCCCCCTCCCCTCCGTATATAAGCCCACCCTTGTATAAGCCCATCAAAAATCGCTTACGAAAGTATATAAGCCCAGGGCTTATAGTCGAAGGTTTATGGTACATAATCAGGGTTTTAGATTTGGAGGAATTTAACTCATTTGGAGAAACATGGGTAGCACATGGGGTCAGTCAGGGTTCATACATGTGATGTAGAGGGAAATTCAAGGACTTTTCAAGGACATTCAAGGCCATGTATCAGCAAATTCAAGGACTAAATACTGAAGAAAAGGGGTTAGAATCAGTAAAATCTAACGTTGAATTGTTCAAAACGCAACTTTAATGAGTTTCAAATAACTTTGTCAGATATGAACATGCAAAATCAATTCAACAAAATGTACTCCGTTTTGAATGCCAAAAACTAAAGCAAGAAAAATTTATGGATTTTCAAGTACTTCTTCACAAATTCAAGGACATTCAAGGGCATGCACGTTTTGTATGAAACCTGGCCAGCACACTGCGCGCCACGCCGCTAAGTTAAGCCTGCTACGATAGATCAAGGAAAGGGGATTCACTTTGATGAAGCGTTTTTCGAGATGAAAATTTCGAGTTGAAAATCATACGCAATTTTAGACCTAAGTCACCTAACCAGGAGCAGCCTGAGCAAAAAATGTAACTATAGGCCCTCTGGTAGGAACATGACATGTGGCCTTGCGATTCCGGTACAGTGCTCGAACCAACTGAGCTTTCAATGCCCAAAAATCTCGCTATTTACTTTGACGGGTGAATTACTGTACCTTACCAGGGATGGATCCAGCATGATCTGGTAGGGGGGGGGGGGCGCTTTGCCAGCTATAGTGCAGAGTTGTGTCGGTCAGGCCAAAAAAAAAATATGTGGGTTTCCGGTTTCCCGACCCTACCTAGCTTTTGGACGTCGAAATCCCGACCCTAAACTTTTTTATTGGATCATGCTTGTAAGTGTTTCCACTTAGAGGGAAAAGTTTGTGGAAAATTGAAATTTGAGGCAATATTAGGGAAATTTATCTTTTGATGTGGAAGCACTGACAAAACAAAATGGCGTCCGCTTATTCGGAAAATTAAAAAAAAAAGTTAAAAAAAAAGAAGTTAAAACCGACCTACCCTACCTAAGTTTTTATAAGAAGAAACCGGAAACCCACATATTTTTTTTTTTGGCCTCATGTGTGCCGCCCGCCCATCAACTTGCTTCACTACTGCAAAGTCTTGCTTGACTACTGTATTTGAATTGTAATTGTTGTTCACAGTTCGTTTATCATCATGTTATTACTCAAATTACTGTACCTCATTTTGCCTCTAATAATTTTTTGCTTTATCATGAAAAATAGCACACCCCCCCTCTGGCCAGGACTAGGGGGGGGGTGTGCGCATCCCACCCCCCCAGTAAACCCATCCCTGTACCCTACACTGACCAGTATACTGTTAGATACCTTCTCTGTACATTTTCTGATAACGTTGGTGATTTCATTCATAACTAAATCAATACATTTTGTCGCGGGCGTCTTGAGTTTATCAATCTGCTTCTTCACGATCGCCTCAAAAGCCATGTCTGGAGTGAAGAGACCGACCCTAAAGAAAAACCAAACCTAAACTTTTGTTTCTAAAGAATTGCTTTTGAAACTAACCACTGTGACCAGTATTCTCAGTTGGTAACAGAAGTGATTAAGAAGTTAGTCTAACCTCCCTACCTATATGAACAAGCTTTCTAATTGGTTTATCATGACAACAGAAGACAATAAACTATAGAAATTGCATTTCTAAAGAACGATCAGTCATAAACACTGATCACTATTGCTGCAGAAAGTAGTTTTTGCAACACGGTTGAGACGGTTAAAAAATTAAATTACGAATGTTTAATTGTACAGTACCTCACACCATGAATATTTTTTATAGCAAAACTGATCTCACGTCGTAGCTCTCGTTCATCAAATTCCATCTGAAAATACGTTGAAAAATATATTTTATAATTATTACTATTACTATGAATTGCGGAGCACCGTATGTGTAGAAAAGCCAGATTAGGGAAGTTAGAGGGTATTGCCCCCAAGCAGGATTTCAAATCTACATTAATTGAAATGACATGTTCTGGGGATGTTTTATGGAATTTTGAAGATTATTCAGTTAAATTAATAAAAAAATGTCTTGTTCTATTAGATTTGGAAACCTTTCAAAAAGCATGATTAATGAACTATACCCAGGAAATATATGTTATTGACCACTTTTAATGTAGTTAAGACTCACCTTGACCAGTTCATAAGGGAATCTCTCGTGAAAGACTCGGTTAATTCGAGCACCTCCTGACAATTGTATCGTATCAATTTGATCTCCTGTGCCTTCGATCGCTTTTTCAAAATCACTGTGAAACTGTTGAATCATTCTATAGAAAAAAGTGACATAACTAAGAAAGAAGCACATATGAAGCTAGGCTATACTTCAGTTGCAATTTATACTGTAGATGCAATTTGGGTGTTGTGCCATGGTAGTGTTGATTCAAGGAGCTGCCCTATTCTGAAACTACACATGCACGTAAATCTCACAACTTGTCAACAAGATGTGTTCGCAAAAGGTTTGTAGCAAGCTTGTCAACAAGTTGTAACAATGCTGTTATTTTTTCAAGTTGCTAAAAGGTTGTCACTCACAACTTGTTGACAAATTGTTGAATTGCGCGGACGATAACAAGTTGTTGGAACAACTTGGAACAAGTCCTTTGAGCTGAACAACCTTGTAGCAATTTGTCAACAAGCCGTGGACAACTTGTCAACAAGCTAGGAACAGGCAGTGCGAACACATCCTGTTGACAAGTTGTTGGAACAGCATTGTTACAAGTCTGCTGCAGGTTAATATATATTACAACTTGTGTATTTTTACGTGTGTATATTTCTAAAGGAAACAGAATGTTTGGACGACATAACAGACAACACTATTAGGCACTATGTAACATTTGCAAAAGGCCAACCCAGGATTCAAGGTGTGGTAAAATGCCTAAAATAGTAAAATGATTGTACAATTTCCTTAAAACTATGCATATTTCTTATACCACCTACTGCATAAGTGCCTTTGTCTTCATGGATGGGTCATCTGGATGATAGTTCTTGTACTCCTGAACATCTTTTTCTAACGAGATTAACTGATCTTGTAAACTGCTTCGTAAAGCCGGTAGACTGTCTTTGATATGATTGGTTAATTGCTGGAATTCAAATTTAACACTAAAATTAATAACAAAAGCAAGGATTTAATTTTGAAACTGAAAATATTATATGTTATATTCACCTGATTAAGAACTTTTTGAAGAAAAGGAGTTCCCATTTTGTCTGCAATATGTCTGAAACACAAGAAGGAAAATTTGAAGTATGTATCAACTTTGAACATGTTTAACCCATTGAGCTGCAATCATAGACAGATTTTCACATTTTTTACTGGGGTGGTGCCAGAAATTTTAGGGGGGAGGGGGTGAGCCGTGAGCAGGTGACTGAACACAAAGTGTCACCAATTGCTCCAATAAACCAGTGAATGCAAGCGAGGAGCAATTAGTTTCAGAGTGTTGCACCGTCTTTTTCTGTTTGAGTGTACTCCTACGTTTATTTTGTATCATCAACACTCTGCACGTTGGAGTGGACTATTTAAGTATTTATTTATTATGCCGAATATTGGGGGGGGGGGTTGAATTTTTTTTTGGAGGGGTGGACATTTTGTTTGGGGGGGGGTTATAGCTAATATTGGGGGGATAGCACCCCCCTGCACCCCCCCAGAAAATCCGTCTATGGCTCCAATGTGCCCTAGTCATTTTTTTTACTTGTCTGACGCCAGACAATTTTACTCGTCAATGGGGAAGCTCTGCAGCTTAATGGGTTAATTACCTCTACCAAGAGGTTAATATGTTTTTATTTATGTTTGTATGCGTTTGTGTGTTTGTGTGATGGGTGTTGGGTCTGCCAACATGACAACTCAAAAATTATATACTGTGTGGAGAACATACCTATAACTACCATGACTTAAAAAGAATTTTCTCTCAGCAGCCATAGCGGCTCTGATATCTTTTTTTCCTTCGATATCCCTCTGACTTCGATTGACAACGCCAACATAACCTAGTGAAAGTATTCATTGGTAAGACATACTTTTAGGAAAAACAATTTAGGATTGATAGAGCTATCCAGTACAAGAAAAGTTAGGTTGTTTCATTACCTCTTCTTAAAGGAAAAGTTTTGTTCTCCAAGATATCTCTAGCATCTGTTCCAGGGTCCATTAAATCAAGTTTTGTGATCACGCCAATTGTGCGAACACCTTCAATGAAAGAAAGCAACATGATAGTAAAAAGTCTATAAACAGCAACCACACAGTGGTCGTTAACGCATGGTAACGCATTCAAATCAGGTTTTTCTACGGACCTAATTTTTTTAGGACGAGGATAGCAAAGGAAGAACGAGGACGTTCCTGATATAAAAGTTAGCGTATAAAAGACCAGTAAATAATTTTGAGGCTACAATTTCAAAAATATCAATAAAATTAATTAAACATGAAATGATCCATAAAGCTTCATAAATTATATATCAACATGTTAGTTACATTTACAAATAATAAACAATGGACAATAAATTATTTAATAATGGGCAAAGAACATTACACTTCACTTACCGGTAGTAACATTGACATTGACCCTTAACAATGTGCATGTTTCAATGGAAAAACAATTACTGGAAATTAAAGTGCTGAAACACTATTTCAAAATCCGCAGTATATGTTCTATAACCTAAACCTACCTTGTGGGTCAACCTCTCTTGCAATTTTCAAAGCATCCGAGTTAGCAAGATCAGTGTTAGCTGGCGTGACAGCAAGGATCAAGCAGTTGGGTTTGGTGATGAACTGTAACAGCATGTCTCGTATCTGGTGTTCAATGTCCTGTGGTTGGTCACCCACTGCAATCTTGGTCATACCAGGAAGATCAATTAATGTCAAATTTAGGACTGGAAATAAACACATTGATTTAACACAACAGAGAAATAAGTATCTACAGAAGGTGTAATGTATATTTCAAGATAGAGCTCCACTTATTGGTTTATTTAACACATTAAGTTGTGCATTGCACCCTACTTTATTATTTTACTCTGTCTAATGGCAGACAATTTTACTTGTCAAAAGGAGAGTGCTGGCACACTGGACACTCAACACTTGCGGTAAACAAGGAAATTATTAAATTAACCCATTGAGCCGCAATGCGCCCCTGTGCGCTCTACTTATTTTTTATTTGTCTAACGTCAGATGATTTTACTCGTCAATGGGGAAGCTCTGCAGTTCAATGGGTTAACCAAAGAATCAGACAATGTAGGCTTGGGCGGTTTACCGTTTTTTTCGGTTTTATTTTCAATTAAAACCGTTTTTTCGGTTTAGCTTTTACAAAAACCGGAAAACCGTCATTAAGAAATTGTTTACTGTCAACGCCCGAAATCGATCCTAATTCTCAAAACACAACACTAATTAAACACAATTACATGACACTAGATATAAATTATATTCTTTTTCCGTAAAGTCGGTAAGAACTAAAGAGGTATAAATTTTCAAATGTGTTCTTGACCCTTTTATTTTAAAACTGAAGTCGTTTTAGGTTACCTTTATACAATTTTGCATTTTGTCATGTACTGTTCGTTTGCTTATGTCAAAAAAATACCACAATTCCTCCTCATTCAGTTGAAATACAAATTAAAGGGAAAAAAACGGTTTTAACGGTTTAGAATCAGATGGTTTTTCGGTTTTGATTTTAAGCGAAACCGCCCAAGCCTAAGACAATGTCCCTATAGTTAACCCAATGAGCCGTAATGTGCCTCACTGTGCCCTACTTATCTTTTTTACTTGTCTAACACCAGACAATTTTACTCGTCAATGGGGAAGCTCTGCAGCAACATTTCATTTTCAACATGCTCCACATGACTATGGAAATCATCGAAATAATGAACTTGAAAACATTCTTACCATGTGGGGAATGGACTCGGAGGTTGATAGGAATGTTGGATATTCCTTTATTACTGCCAGTAAGACGATCTGTTTCCTTGACAATTTCTCTATTTATCTCATTGAAATCTGAGAAAATTTTCCCTTTACTGTGGAGAAATTCACCGTATTCTAAATGGAAACGTTGCATATGAACATTAAGTATGATGATGATAATGATGTTAATGATAATGATGATAGATGAAATATGATATAATCTATGTAATTCCAAACCTGTCTTATCGGGAATCAGTTGCAAAATTAAAGGCCTCCTTGTAACAATACCAGATCCTCGAGGAAGAAAATCTCTATAGAATACCAACAAAGGGCTTAGAAATTATACTACAGCAGTAACGAATATTATGCACATACAGAACTTCACCAAAGTCATAAATTGCTTGTTGTTTATTGACTTCAGCTTTTGTGAATCAAAAACATATTGCTTTACAATTAAACCCGTAAATGGCAATGTGCCCTGATGTGCCCTACTTTAGTATTTTACTCTGTCTAACGCCAGATGATTTTACCCATCAAGTGGAGAATGCTGCCACTCAATGGGGTAACTAGTTATGTGCCACAATATGCCAACAACATTAATATAATTTTCTGACTGGAAAGTTTGGAAATTGAACATTCCAATATTTGAAAAAATTAATGGTAAATACATCAAAATGACGCACTCAGGAACTACGATACAAAAATTCCACACTGGTCTGATTGCAAGATGAAAATCTATGTAAGTGAGGGAAAAATTCTTTTGTATTAGCATGTCTTAGATTCATACGTTACTACAAGTACTGACTCAGTTTACATATAATACAAAATTATTGAAATTTATACTTAACATAAGAAATCTTATCATTCATACCCAAGGTACCTAATCTATTATCAATAACACCACTTATAAAGCTATTATCAATATCCCATAAATACCCAAATATACAAGATCAAAATACCACTTCAAAATAAACGATTCATAAAAGTACATGCAAACATGAGACAATAACAAAAACAACTTAAATTGTCTTAATAGTTTATCTATTATCACAATTACTGAACCATAATATGTATCACAATTGACAATAGCAAGATGTCAAACTTATTTTCGTACAATGACAAAATGTACCAAATTAATATGCCCAAAAGAGGAAGTCAAGTCAGTCAAGTCACAAAATATAGAATATTCTATTGCTTTAATCCAACTATTCACGCTTAAAACCCTTTCAAACCGAAACTCTACTGGTAACAGGAATACACTAGTAATTGTCTGAACCCCTCAAAACAAACCACAATCCACTAACCTTCCAACAAAGTTTTCTAAAACACTGCTTTTGCCAGCACTTTGGCTGCCAACGACTGCAATTTGTGGCAAATCTATCGTCGCTGTTTGACCAACTTGCGAAAAAGCGTCCATCAATTTGTTCATGATAGGAATAAGATCCTCCATTCCCTTGTTTCCAGCCATTTTCGAGCTTCAAAAGGCTGAAAACTGAAAGGGAAAATAGAGCAATAAAAACAAACAACAATTCAATAGACTTTCGGTATATAAAAATTCAAGATCAACAAAAGAGCAGCTTTGTGCGCATGACAGTATCAACAGTATTTCGTAATCCTTGCCGCTGATCTATAAGGACACCTGGATATACCACTATTTTCGGGCATGTTGTAAAAGACGGACTGGACCGGACTGGACTGGACCGGGAAAACGCGGACTGAGTCCGTGTTTTACAAATCGCGGACTGAATTTGTAAAATACTGACTGGACTGGACCGGGAAAACACGGACTGAGTCCGTGTTTTACAAATTCAGTCCGCGATTTGTAAAACACGGACTCAGTCCGCGTTTTCCCAGTCCAGTCCAGTCCGATCCAGTCCAGTCCGTCTTTTACAACATGCCCTATTTTAGCTTTCTGGTAAGCGAGTCTTATCCAATTTAAGTGCACGAAATATTTTCGTGACGACTAAACATCTATGTTGAATGTTTATGCCGAACATATTCAACGGCATAAACATCTAAGTTGAATGTTTATGCCAAACATATTCAACGGCATAAACATCTAAGTTGAATGTTTATGCCGAAGACAGTCAACGGCATAACCATCCAAGTTGAATGGTTATGCCGAAGACAGTCAACGAGTAACGACATAACCATCCAAGTTGAATGGCTATGCCGAAGACAGTCAACGGCATAACCATCCAAGTTGAATGGTTATGCCGAAGACAGTCAACAGCATAACCATCCAAGTTGAATGTTTATGCCGAAGACAGTCAACGCGGCATAACCTTCCAAGTTGAATGGTTATGCCGAAGACAGTCAACAGCATAACCATCCAAGTTGAATGTTTATGCCGAAGACAGTCAACGCGGCATAACCATCCAAGTTGAATGGTTATGCCGAAGACAGTCAACGACATAACCATCCAAGTTGAATGGCTATGCCGAAGACAGTCAACGGCATAACCATCCAAGTTGAATGGTTATGCCGAAGAGTCAACGGCATAACCATCCAAGTTGAATGGTTATGCCGAAAACAGTCAATGGTCAATCTGCAGTTATTAGAGTGACAAAATAATGTTAATTTTTTTTTAATATACAGTGCGTGGTTCGTTACTGCATGAATAAATATGCAAGCATTTGGCTTACTTCAGATCGTCCATTTAAAGCAACTCTCTCTTATAGTTGGAAGAAATTGAAAATATATAAAAAATAATTGAATGGTGTGTAATTTAACTTTATTGATCCAGTATTAGTGTCAACAGTTTTGAAAATGACCCCAGCCGGTTGTTCAATGGTGGGTTAGCTCTAACCCTGGGTTAAAACTTAATCTGCTGTTTTAGTTTGTGTATTTCTGCACGTCTGTTTATTTCAAAACTTCAGAGAAGTAATCTCCTATCGATCCAGACAAGATCTCTGAATAAATATTTCCAAATCTATAGACAAGCTGTCAGGAAGTTTGCTTTGAACTTTACGTTAATTAACCTGGGGTTAAACTAACCCAGCTTTGGACAACCGGCCCCAATTGGATAAGACTTCACTTCAAATTTATCCTTCGCCCAAGAGGCCCATTCCCATGAAACACGAGCGCCGAATCACAGAATAAGGTACACAGAAGGCCGACTTCTTCGTTTTTCCTCTGATTTTCCTATGGTTTTGGCGTAACCCTTAATTCGTCATCAAATGCTGACGCCATGGTCCTAGCCAGTGCGCGTTTGAGAGGCATTCACCCCCTGATAATATTCAAAATGGCGGATGTCCAGGGGGGAATGCCTCTCAAACGCGCACTGGCTAGGACCATGGCGTCAGCATTTTGATGATGAATCATGGCGTGGCAGCGGTTACTCGAGTCGACCTTCTGTGTACCTTATTCTGTGGCCGAATACTCCCTTTTAATAATTGCGTCACACATAGTTTTTGGTGTTGGAGGTTAGATATCGTTAGTAAATTACGCAAGGTGATTGGCTCACGATTCGTGAGAGCGAGGCTCCCAGGCTAAATGACGTAATTATCGAGGGTGTATTGCCGTTTGTCTTGATTTATGACAGCGGGCACCGAGGCCAAGCCTCATGGAACTCTCCGTGACGTAGTATCTGAAGATGTGTTGTGGAACTGAACTTGATCAAAGTTGCGGACGAAAAGACTGCAACCATCAATGGAAACAATCAAATATTCAGTTGGTAAAACACAACCCAATTTCTCAATAATCGTTTATTGGTTTTAAATAATTTCAAAAGCGAAATTTATAGTGTACACTATTTACAAGTATAAATAATTCTCTAGTTACGTTTCAAAATTGTGCGCATGAAACCATAGCTTGAAATCGAGGCTAAAATGGGACGTACAGTAAACGATTTTAGTCAACCGATTTATGGTTCAGATGCATGTTAATGAACGAGAAACATTTGGTAGTATGACCCGAGGGCTCATTATTCTCGCCACTCTATATTGACTTCGTTAAATACCATTCATCTAAACCATAAATCGCGAATCGTAAGATATGTGTCCGGCTTAACAATATTATTCTATGCAGCTTCGCACAAGCAGTTCCATGTCGTTAGAGAGGTTCAATTTTGATCCCACTACGCATCCTAATCGGATAGATTAAACGCATTTGATTAAACGATAGCTAATCGGATAGATTAAACGCATTTGATTGGTTAATGGTAGCGGAAGAAAAATTTAAATCTCTCGGTCGTCAGCCTCGATCTCGAACCATTGTCTGATGTTAATTTAAGCACATTCGGAAACTGACTAAACCACAGAGTAGAGACATACAGAGACGTAACTAGTGTACCCACTTTTTTGTGCGCATGCTCGGCAAGTTACTAGATGCATGCATCTGATTGGATGACGACCTGATGACGACTCACTTTAAACTTGCTGAGCACGCGCAGTTGATCATTTTTCGCCCGGCCGCCTGAAAAAAAGTGGTACATGATAACGTAATCTTCCGCAGTGTTTACAACGGTCAGTTACGTCTCTGTATGTCTTATCTACTCTGTGATTATACTGACCGGAATGGCGGAATGTAAACAAACAGCTAAAAATAGACCCAATTTGGAGATTTATAACTTTTCAGAAAATTGCTTGCAGACGAATTTTATTCCTGATTACTTAACTTTAGTAGCTATACTTTCAAATTACATTCCTTTTGAACTTCAGATAGGTGCCACTTTTGAGCTATTTTAAGTAAAATATGAGCAATTTTCAGCCTCTCGTCCCCATCTTGAAAACAGAGTTTCGCAAAACTATAAAAAAATCGTATTAAGCAAATAAAGTTGTTCAATCTCCATGTAAAAGAGATTATTAATGTTAATCTTGCATGCGAATAGTAACTGGAGCGGATAACCGCATCACAACGTTTTTAAAAAATCAGATGAATTCGTGTAAAATTCCCCTTCATTTCCGGTCTGAAAATATTCTCGCAAGGTCAAATTTCAACATGGCTATAACTCCTATAAAACAGAAAGTTGAAACGTTCTGAAAGAAGCTCGATTAAAATTGACAAAAGTCTAGTTCATATGCAAAATATGAGCTAAATCTATTTTCCCTTCCCCGAACTAGTGGGTGGATTTTACTGAGAGCCCTCTTAAGTGTCGCAAAACAACAGAAAGTACACATTTGCGATCGCAATTTGCAACGTCGTATCTTGCACTTATTTTGACAATTTCGACTGTTATTGAGACTTTTTAAATTGGATTTCATCCTAAATAGTGTATTCCTGACATGGAGTCAATTTTAAGCAAAGATTTGCGGGTTGATAGGAGATATTTTATTTCTGTGTGCTTTGACAATTGGCGAATTATATATCCATATATTTCAAGCAACATGAAACACTATTTCTCAATTTTGACCGATTCATTCGCATCGCTGGCATCGGTCTGGATCCGCCCCTAGAGGAACCTTGTCCTCAGTGTGAAGAACATTGTCCTCAGAGTGAGGAACCTTGTCCTCAGTGTGAGGAACCTCGTCCTCAGAGTGACGAACATTGTCCTCATAATGAGGAACCTTGTTCTCAGTGTGAGGAACTTTGTCCTCAGTGTGAGGCACATTGTCCCCAGAGTGAGGAACCTTGTCCTCACAGTGATGAACCTTGTCCTCAGAGTGAGAAACCTGCTTTCAGAGTGATGACACTTGTCCTCAGAGTGAGGAACCTTCTCCTAAGAGTGAGGAACCTTGTCCTCAGAGTGAGGAACCTCGTCCACAGTGTGAGGTACCTTGTCCTCAGAGTGAAGAACCTTGTCCTCAGAGTGAGGAACCTTGTCCTCAGAGTGAGGAACCTTGTCCTCAGAGTGAGGAACCTTGTCCTCAGAGTGAGGAACCTTGTCCTCAGAGTGAGCAACATTGTCCTCAGAGTGAGGAACCTTGTCCTCAGTGTGAGGACCCTTGTCCTCAGAGTGAGGAACCTTGTCCTCAGAGTGAGGAGCCTTGTCCTCAGAGTGAGGAGCCTTGTCCTCAGTGTGAGGAACGTTTTCCTCAGAGTGAGGAACCTTGTCCTCAGTGTGAAGAACCTTGTCCTCAGAGTGAGGAACCATGTCTTCAGAGTGAGGAACCTGACTTCAAAGTGAGGAACATTGTCCTCAGAGTGAGGAACCTTGTCCTCAGAGTGAGGAACCTTGTCCTCAGAGTGAGGAACCTTGTCTTCAGTGTGAGGAACCTTGTCCTCAGAGTGAGGAAACTTGTCCTCAGAACGAGGAAACTTGTCCTCAGTGTGAAGAACCTTCCTTCAGAGTGCGGAACCTTGTCCTCAGAGTAAGGAACCTTGTCTTCAGAGTGAAGAACCTTGTCCTCAGTGTGAGGACCCTTGTCCTCCGAGTGAGGAGCCTTGTCCTCAGTGTGAGGAACCTTTTCCTCAGCGTGAGGAACCTTGTCCTCAGAATGACGAACCTAGTTCGCAGAGTCAGGAACCTTGTCCTCAGTGTGAGGAACCTTGTCCTCAGTGTGAGGAACCTTGTCCTCAGGGTGAAGAGCCTTGTCCTCAGAGTAAGGAACCTTGTCCTCAGAGTGAGGAACCTTGTCCTCAGAGTGAGGAACCTTGTTCTCAGAGTGATGAACCTTGTCATCAGAGTGAGGAACCTTGTCCACAAAGTGACGAACCTTGTTCTCAGAGTGAGAACCTTGTCCACAGTGCGAAGCACCTTCTTCTCAGAGCAAGGAACCTTGTCCTCAGAGTGACGAACCTTGTTCTCAGAGTGAGGAACCTTGTCCTCAGTGTGAGCAACCTTGTCCTCAGCGTGAACAACCTTGTCCTCAGAGTGAGGAACCTTGTTCTCAGAGTGAGGAACCTTGTCCACAGTATGAAGCAGCTTCTCCTCAGAGCAAGTAGCCTTGTCCTCACAGTGAGGAACCTTCTTCTCAGAGTGAGGAACCTTGTCCTCAGCTTGAGGAACCTTGTCCTCAGTATGAAGAACCTTGTCCTCAGAGTGAGGAACCTTGTCCTCAGATTGAGGAACATTGTTCTCATAGTGAGGAAACTTGTGCTAAGTGTGAGGAACCTTGTCCTCAATGTGGAGAAGCTTGACCTCAGAGTGGAGAAACTTGTCCTCAGAGTGAGGAACCTTTTCCTCAGAGTGAGGAACCTTGTCCTCAAAGTGAGGAACCTTGTTCTCAGGGAGTGGAACCTTGTCCTCAGTGTGAGGAACCTTGTCCTCTGTGTGAGGAACCTTGTCCTCAGAGTGAGAAACCTTGTCTCCAGAGTCAGGACCCTTGTCCTCAGTGTGAGGAACCTTGTTCTCAGAGTGAGGGACCTTGTCCTCTGTGTGAGGAACCTTGTCCTCAGAGTGAGGAACCTTGTCCTCAGAGTGAGGAACCTTGTCCTCATAGTGAGAATCCTGTCCTCAGACTGAGGAACCTTGTTCTCAGAGTGAAGAAACTTGTCCTCAGTGTGTGGAACCCTGACTCAGTGTGAAGGACCTTGTCCGCAGAGTGAGGAACCTTGTTCTCAGAGTGATGAACCTTGTCATCAGAGTGAGGAACCTTGTCCACAAAGTGACGAACCTTGTTCTCAGAGTGAGGAACCTTGTCCACAGTGTGAAGCACCTTCTCAGAGCAAGGAACCTTGTCCTCAGAGTGACGAACCTTGTTCTTAGAGTGAGGAACCTTGTCCTCAGTGTGAGCAACCTTGTCCTCAGCGTGAACAACCTTGTCCTCAGAGTGAGGAACCTTGTTCTCAGAGTGATGAAAATTTTCCTCAGTGTGAAGAACCTTGTCCTCAGAGTGACGAACCTTGTCCTTAGAGTGAGAAACCTTCTCTTCCGGGTGAGGAACCTTGTCTTCAGTGTGAGGAACCTTGTTCTCAGAGTGAGGCACCTTGTTCACAGGGTGAGGAACCTTTTCCTCAGTGTGAAGAACCTTGTCCTCAGAGTGACGAACCTTGTCCTCAGAGTGAGAAACCTTCTCTTCCGGGTGAGGAACCTTGTCTTCAGTGTGAGGAACCTTGTTCTCAGAGTGAGGAACCTTGTTGTCAGATTGAGTAACCTTGTCCTCAGTCTGAGGAAATTTGTCTTCAGTGTGAAGGACCTTGTCCGCAGAATGAGGAACCTTGTCTTCAGAGTGAGGAACCTTGTCTTCAGTCTTAGGAACCTTGTTTTCAGAGTGAGGAACCTTGTTCTCAGTGTGAGGAACCTTGTGCTCAGTGTGAGCAACCTTGTCCTCAGTGTGAAAAACCTGGTCCTCAGAGTGAGGAACTTTGTCTTCAGAGTGAGGAACCTTGTCCTCAGTGTGAGGAACCTTGTTCTCAGACTGAGGAACCTTGTCCTCAGAGTGAGGAACCTTGTCCTCAGGGTGAGGAACCTTGTCCACAGAATGAGGAGCCTTGTCCTCAGAGTGAGGAATCTTGTCCTTAGGGTATGGAAACTTGTCCTCAGAGTGAGGAACTTTGTCCTCAGAGTGAGGAACCTTGTCCTTACAGTGTGGTACATGCCTTCAGAGTGATTAACATTGTCGTCAGAATCAGGAACCTTGTCCTTAGTGTGAGGAACCTGCCTTTACACGGAAGAACCTTGTCTTCCGAGTGAGGAACCTTGTCCTGAGTGTGAGGAGCCTATGTCCTGAGAGTGTCGAACCTTGTCCTCAGAGTGAGGAACCATGTCCTCAGAGTGAGGAACCTTGTCCTCAGAGTAAGAAACCTTTTCCTCAGATTGAGGAACCTTCTCCTTAGAGTGAGGTACCTGCCTTCAGAGCGAGCATCCTTGTCCTCAGAGTGAGGAACTTTGTCCTCAGAGTGAGGAACCTTGTCCTCAGAGTGAGTAACTTTGTCCTCAGCTTGAGGAACCTTGTCCTCAGAGTGAGGAACCTTGTTCTCAGAGTGAGGAACCTTCTCCTCAGAGTGAGGAACCTTTTCCTCGGAGTAAGAAACCTTCTCCTCAGGGTGACGAACCTTGTCCTCAGAGTGAAGAACCTGCTTTCAGAGTGAGGAACCTTGTCCACGGAGTGAGGACCTTGTCCTCAGAGAGAGAGAGGACCTTGTCGTCAGAGTGAGGAACCTTGTCCTCAGAGTGAGGAACCTTTTCCGCAGTGTGAGGAACCTTGTCCTCAGAGTGAGGAACCTTGTCCTCAGAAAGAGAAACCTTGTCCTCAGAGTGAGGAACGTGCCTTCAGAGTGAGGAACCTGGTCCTCAGAATGAGGAACCTTGTCCTCAGAATGAGGAACCTTGTCCTCGGAGTGACGAACCTTGTCCTCAGAGTGAGAAACCTTGTAATCAGGGTGAGGAACCTTGTCCTCAGAGTGAGGAACCTTGTTCTCAGAGTGAGGAAGGACAAGGTTCCTCACTCTGAGGAAAAGGTTCCTCACTCTGATGACTAGTTTCCGCACTCTGAGGACAAGGTTTCTCACTCTGAAGGAAGGTTCCTCACTCTGAGGACAAGGTTCCTCGCTCTGAGGACAAGGTTCTCACTCTGAGGAGAAGGTTCCTCACTCTGAGGGCAAGGTTCCTCACTCTGAGGACAAGGTGTCTCACTCTGAGGACAAGGTTCGTCACTCTGAGGACAAGGTTCCTCATTCTGAAGGCAGGTTCCTCACTCTGAGGACAAGGTTTTTCTTTCTGAGGACAAAGTTCCTTACTCTGAGGACAAGGTTCCTCACACTGCCGACAAGGTTCCTCACTCTGAGGACAAGGTTCCTCACTCTGAGGACAAGTTTCCTCTCTCTCTGAGGACAAGGTCCTCACTATGAGGACAAGGTTCCTCACTCTGAAAGCAGGTTCTTAACTCTGAGGACAATGTTCGTCACACTGAGGAGAAGGTTTCTTACTCCGAAGAAAAGGCTCGTCACTCTGAGGACAAGGTTCCTCACTCTGAGCAGAAGGTTCCTCACTTTGAGTACAAGGTTCCTCACTATGAGGATGAAGTTCCTCACTCTGAGAACAATGTTCCACACTCTGAGGCAAGATTGCTCACTCTGAGGACAAGGTTGCTCACTCTGAGGATAACGTTCCTCACTCTGATGACTAGGTTCCGCACTCTGAGGACAAGGTTTCTCACTCTGAAGGCAGGTTCCTCACTTTGAGGACAAGGTTCCTCATTCTGACGACAAGCTTCCTCACTCTCAGGACAAGGTTCTCTCTCTGAGAAGAAGGTTCCTCAGTGTTCTAAGAGTGAGGAACCTTGTCCTCAGTGTGAAGCACTTTGTCCTCAGAGTGAGGAACCTTGTCCTCAGACAGACGAACATTGTTTTCAGAGTGAGGAACCTTGTCCTCAGTGTGAGGAACCTTGTCCTCAGTGTGAAGAACCTTGTCTTCAGGGTGAGGAACCTTGTCCTCAGTGTGAGGACCTTTGTATTCAGAGTAAGGAACCTTGTCCTCAGAGTGAAGAATCTTGTCCTCAGGGTGAGGAACCTTGTCCTCAGAGTGAGGAACCTTGTCCTCAGAATGAGGAGCCTTGTCCTCAGAGTGAGGAATCTTGTCCTTAGAGTGTGGAAACTTGTCCTCAGAGTGAGGAACTTTGTCCTCAGAGTGAGGAACCTTGTCCTTAGAGTGTGGTACATGCCTTCAGAGTGATGAACATTGTCGTCAGAATGAGGAACCTTGTCCTTAGTGTGAGGAACCTGCCTTTACACGGAAGAACCTTGTCTTCCGAGTGAGGAACCTTGTCGTGAGTGTGAGGAGCCTATGTCCTGGGAGTGTCGAACCTTGTCCTCAGAGTGAGGAACCTTGTCCTCAGAGTAAGAAACCTTGTCCTCAGATTGAGGAACCTTCTCCTTAGAGTGAGGTACCTGCCTTCAGAGCGAGCATCCTTGTCCTCAGAGTTAGGAACTTTGTCCTCAGAGTGAGGAACCTTGTCCTCAGAGTGAGTAACTTTGTCCTCAGCTTGAGGAACCTTGTCCTCAGAGTGAGGAACCTTGTTCTCAGAGTGAGGAACCTTCTCCTCAGAGTGAGGAACCTTTTCCTCTGAGTAAGAAACCTTCTCCTCAGGGTGACGAACCTTGTCCTCAGAGTAAAGAACATGCTTTCAGAGTGAGGAACCTTGTCCACGGAGTGAGGACCTTGTCCTCAGAGAGAGAGAGGACCTTGTCGTCAGAGTGAGGAACCTTGTACTCAGAGTGAGGAACCTTTTCCGCAGTGTGAGGAACCTTGTCCTCAGAGTGAGGAACCTTGTCCTCAGAAAGAGGAACCTTGTCCTCAGAGTGAGGAACGTGCCTTCAGAGTGAGGAAACTGGTCCTCAGAATGAGGAACCTTGTCCTCAGAATGAGGAACCTTGTCCTCGGAGTGACGAACCTTGTCCTCAGAGTGACAAACCTTGTAATCAGGGTGAGGAACCTTGTCCTCAGAGTGAGGAACCTTGTCCTCAGAGTGGGGAAACTTGTCCTCAGAGTGAGGAACCTTGTCCTCAGAGTGAGAAACCTTGTCACTAGAGTGAGGAACCTTGTCCTCAGAGTGAGGAAGATTGCCCTCAGAGAGAGGAACCTTGCCCTCAGAGAGAGGAACCTTGTCCTCAGAGTGAGGAACCTTGTCCTCAGAGTAACGAAACTTGTTCTCAGAGTGAGGAACCTTTTCGTTAGTTTGAGGAACCTTGTCGTCAGAGTGAAAAACCTTGTCCTCGGAGTGACGAACCTTGTCCTCAGAGTGAGAAACCTTGTAATCAGAGTGAGGAACCTTGTCCTCCGAGTGAGGAACCTTGTCCTCAGAGTGGGGAACCTTGTCCTCAGAGTGAGGAACCTTGTGCTCAGAGTGAGAAACCTTGTCACTAGAGTGAGGAACCTTGTCCTCAGAGTGAGGAACCTTGCCCTCAGAGAAAGGAACCTTGCCCTCAGAGAGAAGAACCTTGTCCTCAGAATGAGGAACCTTGTCCTCGGAGTGACGAACCTTGTCCTCAGAGTGAGAAACTTGTAATCAGGGTGAGGAACCTTGTCCACAGAGTGAGGAACCTTGTCCTCAGAGTGGGGAACCTTGTCCTCAGAGTGAGAAACCTTGTCCTCAGAGTGAGGAACCTTGCCTTCAGAGAGAGGAACCTCGCCCTCAGAGAGAGGGACCTTGTCCTCAGAGTGAGGAACCTTGTCCTCAGAGTAACGAAACTTGTTTGTCAGAGTGAGGAACCTTTTCGTCGGTGTGAGGAACCTGGCCCTCAGATTGAGGAACCTTGTCCTCAGAGTGAAGAACCTGCTTTCAGAGTGAGGAACCTTGTTCACTGAGTGAGGACCTTGTCCTCAGAGAGAGAGGAGCCATGTCGTCAGAGTGAGGAATCTTGTCCTCAGGGTGAGGAACCTTGTCCGCAGTGTGAGGAACCTTGTTCTCAGAGTGAGGAACCTTGTCCTCAGAAAAGGAAACCTTGTCCTCAGAGTGAGGAACCTGCCTTCAGAGTGAGGAACCTGGTCCTCAGAGTGAGGAACCTTATCCTCAGAATGAGGAACCTTGTCCTCGGAGTGACGAACCTTGTCCTCAGAGTGAGAAAGCTTGTAATCAGGGTGAGGAACCTTGTCCCCAGAGTGAGGAACCTTGTCCTCAGATTGGGGAACCTTGTCCTCAGAGTGAGGAACCTTGTCCTCAGAGTGAGAAACCTTGTCACTAGAGTGAGGAACCTTGTCCTCAGAGTGAGGAACCTTGCCCTCAGAGAGAGGAACCTTGCCCTCAGAGAGAGGAACCTTGTCCTCAGAGAGAGGAACCTTGTCCTCAGAGTAACGAAACTTGTTCTCAGAGTGAGGAACCTTTTCGTCAGTGTGAGGAACCTTGTCCTCAGAGTGAAGAACCTTGTCCTCAGAATGAGAAACCTTGTCACTAGAGTGAGGAACCTTGTCCTCAGAGTGAGGAACCTTGTCCTCAGAGTAACGAACTTGTTCTCAGAGTGAGGAACCTTTTCGTCGGTGTGAGGAACCTGGCCCTCAGATTGAGGAACCTAGTCGTCAAAATGAGGAACCTTGTCCTCGGAGTGACGAACCTTGTCCTCAGAGTGAGAAACCTTGTAATGAGAGTGAGGAACCTTGTCCTCAGAATGAGGAACCCTGTCTTCAGTGTGAGGAGCCTTGTTCTCAGAGTGAGGAACCTTGTCCTCAGAGTGAGAAACCTTGTCACTAGAGGACAAGGTTCCTCACTCTGAGGACAAGGTTCCTCAAGCTGAGGACAAAGTTACTCACTCTGAGGACAAGGTTCCTCACTCTGAGGACAAGGTTCCTCACTGTGAGGACAAGGTTGCTCGCTCTGATGGCAGGTTCCGCACTCTAAGGACAAGGTTCCTCACTCTGAGGGCAAGGTTTCTTACTCTGAGGACAAGGTTCCTCACTCTGAGGACATGGTTCCTCACTCTGAGGACAAGGTTCGACACTCTCAGGACTAGGCTCCTCACTCTCAGGACGAGGCTCTCCCTCCTTCGTGATCGGACGTGTTATTTTAACTCCGCTATTTCGA